TACAAGAAATTAAGTGAAGATGGATTCTATATTACATACTCGTAGTGGAGACTGATTATCGATATCTAATATGGGAATGTTACCTGAGTATGAAAAAGGTATAGTGTGTGTATTAACTTTTTTTCAACAGGCCAGTACCGGTTTTTGGGAGAAACTTCTATGGACAGCTGGGAAAAGCGGACAGTGGAATGACAGGAACTGTCGACATCGCCACCCGTATATTTGCATGCGTCCCAATCAATAATCACATCATGTAAAAACCAGCATCAACCTTATGTTGTCCGTGATGATGACAAAAGAACACTGGGCAGGTCCCAGACTTTGAGATGACATATTCATTGTCTTTTGGGACTTTGGATACAGTATTTTGGAGTGTATAAATAACACATGATCTTATTGCCTGAGAAAGATGTTAAACCTAATAACTAGAAGTACAGAACACTATGTGGTTGAGAAAGAACCCATTATGTTTATTGACATGCAGCAGCAAACCTGTTATTTTACATTCTCTGTGCTTAAAATTGCTTTCAATTATGAAATGTTGGGTGTTGTTGTAAGTTTGTGTGCTTGCATGGCAATATACTAGTACCTGTGTTAAGTTACAGTATCTTCATTAACACCTGGCTGATCATGCCAAATTAGAGGTAGGATTAGATTTAATGCAAAGATTAAAAGAGGGAAAGGATCAGATGTTTTGGCATGATTGACATATTTAAAGGCTAGAAATGATGATGAAGTTGTTACCATCTCCAGAGAGCCAAGTTATATGCTGATGTCATATTCATAACGTGCAGGAAATCGAATTAACGTTACTCTTAATAATGTTGGTTACTTAGTAAGTTTTTAGTACACATTATCATTAATGACTGTACATGTAGTTGAAGTAAGAAAAATGACTTATACTTATAGCAATGATGTTTTGAGAAATTGGCGTATCACTTTGTCATTGTAATATGATTGTTAATGAATCAATTCATTCTCACCACCTTATTTCATTTGTGAAATCATGAGTAGATAGTGCATGTAGTAATGTAACGTTAGTAGACTAGTAGACATTTCATTTAGTAGATGATGTAATTGATTTAAGTGAAACAATTCAGTCAGTTTACTAGTACATGTATATCATTGGATATCTAAACAATCAATACAAAGGTCACCAAAAATTATGCAGCCTTGCTGATGTCTAAAAAAAATTTATATCATGTCCTAAAAATAACTGGACTGGTTTGGATCATGAACTATGGGTATAACGTTAACGCTGTGCTAGACAAATACTCCCTAAAAGTCAAAAGTTATAAAAACCAGTTCATAGCTAATCTGATCGCCATGAAACAAACAGTCCAGGTGAAAACATACATTTTACAGTACCGTCTTCACGCAGGTCAGCAGGGCGACAGGATATGGGGATGATTGGTATCAATTTTTGACCCGGAAGTTGGTATATTACACTTGGTTTGAAGGGGCGTTATGAAGCTTCAATCTATTTGCTTTAAATGATAGAAACATGGAGACTGGTGAACAAAACCATATGTAACATGTATCAAGAAAAAACATAAGTATTTATTTGAAACATTAATGCTGATAATGGAGGAATTTTAACTGTTGTTAAGAAAGATCACCTTTGTTGATAGTGGACTAGCCCTGCCGTTAACCCGGAAGTGAGGCGTGTTTCCCTCGCCGGGTTATGGGAGGGCGTTGGTTCCTCCGGCAAGTTCAACAAACCATTTTTCTCCAACCACCGGCGTTTTCCACATGAAAAATTTTCCGAAGCTCGCCATCGACTGAACGGGTATGTCAGAGAAGACCAAACAAGTGGCCAAATGGCACGGAGCCTTCAAAAAAGCAACGGACTTCGATTCTTGGGGGCAGCTAGTGGAGGCCGTCGACGAATATCAGATGTCAGTATAAGAGAGAGAAGTATTTTTGTTTTGTTGATCTAGAGATCTGAGCTTACTTAAGAACCCTCTGGCGTTTCCACATCAAATGCTTAAATGCCAGATGGTGAGAAAAGTAAATAGCCATAAATTATTCTAGAATATTTAAAGATTATGCGTTTACTCTTTTGTATACCCCCCCCCCCTCGTTATTGTCGCTTGTACCGTTAGTGTGTGTGTGTGGGGGGGGGCGTAGAATTTTCCCCTCCAATTTTGTTTTTGGTAACATTTAGGACTTCCTTGGTGGTACCGATCATTTTCATTGTTTATACCTCCTCCAAAGTATTCCTGACTGCCTCGCCCTATATCTATAATTGAATATATAATGAATTAATATTTCATTACATCCATTAACTGCAGTCGTCACGATATTGTTTAGAATGTAATAAGTTGTTAATTGCACAAATCATATTTGTATTTCTATGTGATAAATCAATTTTGAATGATTTTCAAAATGAGTGCAGCTTGGTGACTTTTTAATATAGGTTATCATGCAACTATTTCGATTTTTTTCTTGTGCCACTTGTGGTACCTAATTTCTTTCCTGGTTGAAATCCAAATTAGCAGTACAGAGTTTAACAGTTTTGCTTGACAAATGAAGGAATAGTTGACATTTTCTTATCCTTTTTTCTGTAATAATTTGGACAAACAAGAGCCAGCTCTGGACTCATACAACTATCTTTTATCAATAAGCTGCTATGTTCTCTCCCCATAAAGGGTGAACATTAGAGACACACCCTTGGCAATTGTCTAAGCTCATAAATTTACAAGTCCATTGTATCAATTTCTTTTTATTTCAGGTTGTCTCGGCAACTCAGAAAGGAAGGTTCGTCGTCAGATTCACGCACGTTCACAGATGACCAAAAGGTAATAACTTCATGCCAATCATGGGATATTTTCCTGTGCTGGGAATAAAGAATATTATTAGATGATGAATGGTTCATATATATGACAGGAGTGTGGGTGTCCAGCTGTAAAAGAGTGATGTACAAATACAAGGGGTCACATAAGGACTATACTTTAAACATTGTCACTGGTTAACAAGTACATGTACATGTATATAAAGTGCTCAAAATGCCAATGTGTAATCTGCATAACGAATTTGAGTATGCAAAAAAAAGCATGGAAAAACATGCAATTTAAAGACAAAAAGTGAGAGTATGTATCAAGAATCATATATTGCTGAGAACAAAAATATTTACTAGTAGTATGTCAAGCCATGAATGTCTTGAATTTGCACAGCTTATACAGCATGTTGTTAATGATAACCGTTTCTGTTTGCGGGTGTGGTGATATTTCTTATGAATAGTGTAACCACCTAATATCTGAATAATTACATGCAGAATGTGTATGTTATTGGTAATGAACTTGGAATTAGACTTATGGCACCTCCTGGCCATGTTAAGGAATCACTTTGATGTATGATATGGTGTCTTAAGCCATAAACTCAACATGTATGTTTATTTTGTCTTTCAGAGAATCCTGTCCAAAGTGTCTACATGTTTAGACTTGAGAAGTCAGGCCCTTCAGGCTGCCCATGGGACCAGTCCAGAGGACTCCTTGTCCCTGGAAGAGCTGAAAAAAGTGGAACCAAGTATGACTTTCATATTAGATTTTCATGTTCAAACTGCAACAATGTACATTTACAGTTCACCAGGAATGTTAGCTGAGCTAGGCTTACTTACAGTAAGTTACACCATTTCAATGATTATTTTTTTCTTTTTTCGTATTTTGAACTCTTTTCCTCCACAATGTGTAACATCTATTTTCTTTTTGCTTTTTTGTATTTTTTTCTCAGTGTTGAAAAATTTACTGAATGCCAATCCAGAGGAGTTCCCAGTCCAGGTCTCACATTTCTCCCCAGTCAGGTAGGAACTTGAAGTTGATGCAAACTACAAGATTTCTATTATTTATATTGCATTCCATTTTCTTGTCAAATTGTAGTTTATGTCCTACTGCCATACATTACAAATTCATGGGAAAGAAAGAGTACATATTTTGTTGAATTTTCTGGACCTATAGAAGTCAACAGATCTTCTTTTCCTAGTAAGAAAAACAATTGTGTACTTGTTGAGAATCGAATAGTTAACTGACATCAGACTGAAGTGAATTCAGCATCATTTTGCTTCATACCCTCTCATCCCCAGCACTTGTCCAGTAAACTATGTAGTGATGATATATCACAATATGTTGGATATAGGGATTTTCCTTGAACACAACCAGTATTACATGTTTGTCACCTTGCTTACATTTCAGTGTCTGTCAAACACCTTCATCAGAGCTTCTGGCTGGAGTTCTGCTTCTCACTGCTATGTAGCTGATGTATGTGGTGCTTTTGCAATGAGAACACAATCCCAAACGTGGCTGAGTTTGTACCCCCCCCCCTCGTCCCGGTTCATCACTGACTTCATGACTTTCTTATCCAGACTGCTTCTATAATCCTGGTTGTGTAAAAGAAAATCCCTATATCCTATGCGAAATTTTTTACCAACCTAATGATACTATTTTGGGGATCACAATATGTTGTACAGGAGACCAGCAGGACCTGAGGTGGACATCAGTGTGTTGAACTTAGATGGGGAGGAGGAGGAGGAAGAGGACACAAGAGGTGAAGGGACCATACCGACCACACCCAAGCCAACCAGTAAGTCTACTTATACATATTAACTTTCAATAATATTTGTGACTTACTTTTCATAAAAGATGCTACTGGTCTAACTGTAAAATGCTGTTTCTGTAACCTAATCTTTGTAATATTTAGAACTCTTAACTATGTTTTTTGTCATCATCATTTGCAAAACACAAGTATCACCTGAAAAAATTGCAGATCCCATGTTTGACATCACTGTCTACATGTACATACAGTAATTTAGTATACATGTACCGGTAAGGTATTGTGGTGATGTCCAGGTTTAAACTCATTACGTGCAATGGCCAATCAGATTGGCTCTATTAATATACAGGCTCAGTCTTGTTTCTATCAAACCTGAAAATTACATTGTACTGTAAAGGTTAATCTCTTTGTTATGGATTTTCCGACTATAGTATTAGATAGGTAATACTCATTAGTGTGAGTATTAGATACAAGTAGTTTATAAAAGTTTATTTTCCCCCCAGGTGGAAGCTTACTTCCACGCCTCCCTCCTGAGCCGGGTATGACAAACTTGACCATGAGGATAGAGAGGATAGGACTGAAGGATGCTGGTCAGCACATTGACCCTTACGTCACTGTCAGTGTGAAAGGTACATTTGTAGCCTGTCTTCTACTCTTCCTCTTCCTGATACAGCTGTGGAGTCACTAATGATACAAAGGAGGGCTCACAATCCTTTTTTGTATACATTTTGTACATGCACTGGTACAGGTTATGTTCAAAATAACATGCAGCAGACCTACAACTCTCAACTACATGTATTTTCTTTGACAATCAGTCCATCACCTTAGTGATGTACATGTAGGCAGGTTTTTAAAAGAAGGTATGTAGTTCCCGGTGTTGGATCATTAGTTTTTCAAGGTATGTAATTATTGGTGTTAGATCATTAGTATCCTCTTTTTCTCTGCACAGATGTCAGTGGCATTGACTTGGCAGAGCCACAGGACACCCCCATAGCCAGTAAGAAAGAAGATCCCTATGTGTACTTCAACGTGGACGTAGAAATACAGAGACATGTAGAGAAGATGCCCAAAGGTGAGAAACTTCAGATGTGTAGTACTGCATGTGTGTGTGTATGTGTGTGTATTGGGGTTGCCATCTTTAATATACATGTATCACATTATGATTTTAATGGTCTTAAAGATCATCTTTTCTGTTTGGTATTGATGTTGACAGTTCACTTTGCTAGATAACTTGACTATTTCTTAACCCCACAGGAACAGCAATATTTTTTGAGTTCAAACACTACAAGCCCAAGAAGAGAATGACAAGCATCAAGTGTTGGGCCTTTATGGAGATGGATGAGCTCAAATCAGGCCCAGCCTCCATCGAACTGTGAGTTAGAATTTCAACTGTTGATGTTTCTTATCATTATCATTCAAACAACTATTAGCATTAGGTAATAAAGATTATAATGATGCACATATTTTGAAATTTGTGCAGTGTAGATAACTTGAATGACAGAAATTTTGCTCTTACTCCAATCTTACAGCTACAAGAAGCCGACAGATTTCAAGAGGAAGAAACTGAATCTCCTGACGGTCAAGCCTCTCTTTCTGGAGCTCTACCTTACCTTGACCAAGGACTAATGGGCAGTACAGAGCTTTCAGAAGTGGGATAAAGGCAGACAGTAACACATTGAACAGCACCTTGCAGTGACTTTGTCTCTTATGGCTGTATTTTACGTCTCGTTTTTAATGGTCTTCATTATGTATAGTGCAACTCTCATATTTAGATACAGCCAAGGATAGTTTTGTTGCCAAATGTGTATGATTGAGCCGAGTCGTTTGCACTTGTGGTGGAAGTGACATGGATTCAGAATGATTAATATCTTGTATCACCGTAATCATGATATCACAATCACGGCGGTGACTCAATGTGCCTAACATGTGCAGAAGATAAAAACGTTAGTTGTCCTTCTAACATGGACTATTGTTTACAGCAAGAGTACTGTTGACACCAATTTGATTAGTTGGTTCTCAGGTTTTATTGCAAAAGAGGGTAAAAACAAGGTCTAATGTACAATAGTGAGGGTCTGAGATTTCCAGTAAGCTTTTCCAGCTATTTTTTGAAACTGTTGTGAAATGGTCAATAAATCATCAGAATAAAGAATGTTTTGAGGATTTCAGCAAGAAACAAAGCTAACATGTAGCTTCTAGAAAATAGCTATTAGAAAAAAGTACAACAGTGAAAGTTGTAACACTTGGCTATGGTTCCAAGAAACAACCAATTAAATTGGTGGTCTTATGGCATGTCATCAGATTAGCAAAGTTTGCTGTTGCATGATGTTACAGTGACTAGTTGTTCTGGCCAGTAGTTAACCTCTCAGTGTCATTGAAAGTAGGCATTTTGATTGGACCATGACACGTAAAGGGTTAACTATGTGTAATATCTCTTTCTAACATTCCTATATTGTAGTGTGTGTAGATAAAATTGATCAACTAATGTACACCTATCCTAACTATCACACCTGTAAACACTAGGGTTTTAAGTTAAAAATAGTTTCACTTTTGTATGTGATGACATTTGCAAATACTAAAAAAGCCCTTCGAATGTTTTAGGTTGAGCAAGAATGTGCCTGGTACATGTATGTATACCATTCAGCCAAAGCAATGTGTGAAGACTATATATATATTTCTCTATTTGGAAATGCTGGCAAATACACAAAGAGCAATATGAGACTTATTAAAAAACGACATTTTAGATCACTAGAATGTTTGTGTGGTTACATTTGAGTTTTTAAGTTGGAGTTACTGTAAACCGTGATTTTTTTCACTGTACTTTTAGGTTCATGCTTTTCTCAGTCACTGCTGTACCATGAACTTATTATCAATAATTTGCTTTCTTTTTTCTGTACTTGCTGCCACCACAAACTTATACTTGCAGGAGCATATCCATTTTTTTCAAACCGTGAACTTTTGCTACCACTAACAAAGTGATTTCCAGTACAGGGCTCGAAATACCGGGTACACATGCACCACAAATTTTTGTGCACCTGTTTTTTTATGTTGGATGCACCAGTGCACCAAGAATTTTAGCCCTGTAGTATATAATGTACATGTACTAACAAGAGTGATATCTAAAAGATTCATGCAGACACAGTCACATGACCAATCCGTTTAATTCAGCACAAACAAACATGATTAATACTACAATAACTAGCACCTACATTATTATAATAACTGTCTGGAATGATACATAAAAGGTGCTCTCATGTCAAAAATCATTTTCCAGAATTTTTGTCAAGTACATGTATTGATAAAAGCAACTACATTACATAGAGTAATAAAAAATCTACACGTAGCAAGCAACCTACTGCAAAATTGGACTTATAAGTACATATAGATAAAATTTAATACAAAACTATGAAATTTGTGAGCCATAAAAGGTAGGTGATAGAAAACTCATATTTATCAGTTAACAATCTACAACAATATAACATTTACTCTAGTCTTAATTTCAATCCCTACAGAGATATATATGTATTATATTTTGAAATTGGTTGCTCATCTTGCAACCTTCAACTGATCAACAAGATACCTCAAACAAAATCTCATCCAAGCTTTACCACAAGAATTACTATATACTAAGTTTGATCCTGATTCTATTCACAAAGAAAGAAACACCTCAACATTTTATAAATTTTACAACACAATACACCCAGTAAATAGCATTCCAATGCTGGTTTGTCAGACGTGTTACTTCAAAACATCTAGTATTACCACCACAATTAATCTACTAAATTTTATCTTGATCCCATCAACAAAGAACAAGAACTTGAAACACTGACATTTTATAGCAGTTACAATACAATAAACCCATGGATTGATTTTGTATGTCAATACTGGTTTGTCAGAAGTATTAGATACCATTAGATACTAAGTTTGTTCTTGATTCAAGAACAAAAACCACTTCGATATTCTATACAGGTTACAACACAATAAAAACGCCAATTCAATTTATTGATTGGACCAGGTACTTGTATTCAGCTTGTAAAAACTTTGGTTTAGTATCAAAAACATTTCATTCCAGCAGTCTAACAGAATGGCACCATAAGTTCAGGTTTTGCAGTGTTGTTTTCTTCTCTAACAATTTCCCCATCAGTCTCCCTTTCTTGTCAGTCTCCCTTTTCCTTTCTTGTATTTCATGCCTTGGGTGCTAGATGCTTTCCTGGGAGTACTCCTGACTTCTTCATCTGATGAACTGATATCGATGATTCTCCTCCTTCCTTGCCCCTTACTTTGATTGACAGCAGAACCAGGCGTCTTCCCAACTGTTACTGATTGGCCATTACGCTTTGTGACCTTCTTCCCTCTAGTGTCTGGCCACATTTGACCTCTAGTCATCTTCCTTTCCACAGTATCCATGTCTGATGAACTTTGACTCCTGGTGACCCTTCTCTGACTCCTGGTGACCCTTCTCTCTCCTACTTCTGATGATGAAACCTGTTGAGTGCTGCTAGTTGTTTCTGCCTCAGATGAGAAACTTGAATGTCTCCAACCCCACTGCCTAGTGTCTTTCCTTTGTCTGTCTACTGCTCTTGCTTGAGATGGAGTTAGACGAAAATTGTCAGTCTTTCTTTTCTCAACACTTCTAGACAATTGTTCTGTCTGTCTTCCTTTGGCTGTGGTGTGCCTTGTATTTTGTCTGGAAGATGTTTTTCTTGGGCTGTTCTTGACGTCCTGATCGTCAGAAGAACTGATTGTTCTCCTTGGTCTCAGAATATACGGGCTTTCAGGTTGTTTAAATAACCGTGGTCTTCCCTTATCACTGTTAATCTCACTTCTTTGTACATCTAGCACCTCTGATCTATTTAGCCTTCTTGTTACATCGAAGGGTCTGTTTTTGGTGCCCTTCTTGTTGTGTCTTGGGTCTGTTTTGGGAGCTGTTACAACATTTGTGCCGTTCAGCCTGCTACTTCTTTGTGTCAGAATGTTTGATCCAGTCTGATCGTCTTTCTCTCCACTTGATGCAGATGACTGGGAGAATGCTGCTGCATCACTGAAGGAGGAGTTACTGGTGTTGACTCGCAAGATTCGGGATTCTCTGTCGCTCTTCCTCTCCGTCAGTCCGTAGTCCATCTTTCTTCGTTCCCTGTTTGCAAACTGTTTGGTCCAGTCTGTCAAACATTTTGGTGACTCATCCATCTCCATTTTTTCTGGGGACTGGTTGTTCAGCACATCCTGTTTTGTTGAAGGACCTTTTTGAATAGGGGACCCCAGTTTTATGTTGTCCAATTGATTCCGCATGAGTGTGCAGGGAGAGGGGGCTTCATCTTCCTGTGGAATCTTGCGTCCTTTTGGTGTTGAGAATCTTGGTTTGTCAGCATCTCTTCTAGGAGTTGGAGGTCTGAATGGCAGCACTCTTATGAAGGTGAGACAACTCGTCACCTACTGAAAGCAGTGAAATGCTGGCTCCTCAAGAATCTCTTCAGACGTTTCCTGCCTTTGTTGATCTTCCTGGTGGGGCTCTGGAGATGGGAGATCAACTTCAGAGTCGTCGTGATTGACCTTTGACTGTTGCATACGAGATTTCCAGAACTGAAGGGTATCCTGCATGCTCTGTTCTTCAACATTTGTGGGGTCTGCTGAAAAATACACACGCTTCTTCTGAGTCTTCTCCCTGCAAGGTGTGGCACTCCTCTGTCCGGGGGTCTTCAATATGGGAGTGAGAGGAGTCATTAATGCTCCCTGTGAAGACTTCAGTGACTTGACTGAAGGGAGTCGATCCTCGACATGTTTGATACTGCTCTCTACTGAGAACTGGGGACTGTAAGTGAGGAATTTAGGGTTTGAGTGCTCCATCTCAATGCTGTGGTCAGGTTTAGAGCTGCAATTCTCGTCTTCACTGTGTGAAGTGCTGGGCTGCAATGCTTCTGTGTTTTCACTACCCTCTCTTTGATACTGTGGGTATTCATCTGACAGACTGTGGAAACTTGAATTACTGACGGTCAGACTTTCATCTTGAGATGAGCCACTTTGGTGCAACCTCTGCTTGAAGGGTTCCACAACCAGCTTTTCCTTTGTGGAATGGGGCTTTGAGACTGAAACTTTCTTTACCGTGTTCAAAGTTGATGCAGTTCTGGTCACTTTTGTACCACTGTCTTTAGAACTCAACTGAACTTCTTTGCAATCTTGCTGCTTCCCTAAACCTGTGTCGCTCTTGCCCTTCTGGCTGTCTCCATATTCTTCCACAGACTGAAGGGCCATACTGGCACTGGGAACATATTTGTACTTTACTCTTTGCTTCATCCCTTGATGTGTAGTGCTGGGCTGTTCTCCCAAAAGGTCACAGATGTCCTCATGTGTGAGTAAGTGCATTTTGGGGCTTGCAGCTGAACTGGAAGAGTTCATGTCAGTGTCCCTACTTGATGTTAGGGCCATTATTCTCCTCTTAGCTGGAACACTGAAACAATTTCTTCTCCTGGCACCCTGGTCAGGTTTCTCTGCATTGCTGAAGCTTCTGTGATGTACTGGAGTTACATTCCCCATCTCTGAATGCGCGTCAGGCTCTGTCAACAGATCTATGACATCTCGGTCACTATGCTTCCTGTCAATTTTCTTCATGTGTTTCTCTGACTTTCCTGAAATAGGAGTACCATGGCCAGAATTTGAACTGCAAGGTGACCCTACTTTTGGACGGCTGCTATCTTTTCTGTTTTTACGACTCGATGACGGCAAAGACTCACTGTACATGTCATCAAGCTCTTCAACTATACACACATTGGTATAACTTTGCCTTTTCTTTGTTGAGTTACTGAGCTCTTCCCTTTTGACTAGTGTGCTATTAAGCTTACTGCAGTCAGCGACTGGTGTGGAAGCTGGCTGTATTTTAGGTTTAATGTCTGTACCAAAGCCTTTGTGTTCATCTCTATTTTGTACAGGTTTTGATGGCGTCTTCTTTCTGTGGCTTTCAGGAAATAATGACAAAAAATCAGGACCTATCCTGATGTGTTTGTTGTGTTTGTCAACCGTTTTTCTATGGCTTGAGTTGTCTTTGCACTTGCTTGTAGGGATTTCCATATACTTTCTGCTTCTGTCAAATGGCAAAGTTTTCTCTTTATAGCCATTACCTTTTTTGTGATCATTGCTGCTGACATCAGTAGGTGTTTTAGACTTGTGTTCTTCTTCATAACTAAAACCACTTGAACCCGAGAGCTCATCTTCACTTTCACCTGCTAAACTAATGCTGCCATTGGCAGATATGTTAGTCGGTTTGTTGTATTTGTCAACACTCATCCTATGGCTCCCTTTGTCTCTGTACCTGTCAGCAGGCATTTCCATTGACTCCTTACTTTTGGAATTGTGAACTGGCATAGATTTTTCAGTTCTCTTGTGGTCTTGGTTGCTGCCATTAGTAGATTTGTTAGTTGGTTTGTTGTGTTTGTAAATGCCTTTTCTAGCGCTGGCATTATGATTGTACCTGTTTGTAGGGATATCCATCGAGTCTCTACCATTGTGAACTGTTCTTGTTTTCTGTTTGTAGTCTTTGTCTCTTCTGTGATTTTGGTTGATGCTATCGGTTGATATGATGGAATTTTGTGTGTTTCTGTAACTTATACCACTTGAATCTGATAGATTTTCATCACTTTCTGAGCCTCTGCTGTCTTCAGGGCTTTCTTCATTTTGCTCAAGTGGTTGTCTTCTCCGTGCATCATTCTCATCACTCTCTGCTGAGCATCTGCTGTCTCCAGGACTTTCTTCATTCAGCTCAACTGTTGATCTCCTCCCTGTATTATTCTCCTTATCAGTCTCTGCCCACTTGTCTTCATCACTACTGATGTCTCCACGGTCACTGTCATCATCACCAATAGTCAACATGTCCTCTTCCACATCTGACAAAAAGGCACAAATGTATTAAGGAGATTTTTTTGTGATGCCTCAGGGGCAGAGCCATTTTGAATCTCAGCCATTCACCCACTAGTATTATATATATAGATGTCGCTATCACTTACTAGTGCATTTTTCACTGTATCTTATGAGTAAGCAGGGCTCGAAATAATGGGTGCATGTGCTCATTAGCTCAGTGCACCCAAATTTTGAGCTGTGCACCCAATTGTTTTCTGTGGGTGCACCAGTGCACCCAAATATTTTTGTAGGTTTACATATGTTAAGATGTTAAATGTATACAGCATATTCTTAACTGTGTCAGAAAAATGATAAAACAATTCTTGTAGTACTTTTCTTAAAAAAATAAAACATAATTAGTTTTTGCTGACATTCTTCTTCTTTTTTTTATTTTATATGGTGCACCCCAAAAAATTTTTGTGCACCCCCCCAGTTTTTTTAGGTTGGGTGCACCAGTGTACCAGAAAATGAATTCTGAGCCTAAGCAAGTAACATCAAACAGACTCACCATCTTCAGGCTCCCAGTAGACTTTACCGTCATCACTTTTCTTAGATCTCATGCATATGGACTGTTCCATCTACACAGAAAAAGGAAATAATGAGCATGTTATTTCATCCATCCAAAAGGATTTCTTCCACCAGCAGTTCACAAGAATGAGCACCTTCCTATGTACAAAGGAAGTGCCTTCTCTTCTGTTGGTCTGCAAGTCAAAACTATGCACATCAGAGTTGAGAAGTCTACTAGTACTTAGAGTATGCTGAGTTTGGTTAATTATCCTTTGTTATCTCAGGATAAATCTTTGTTATGAATTTATTATTATTATTATTCCGTTATTTATTGTTTATCTTAATTTATGTTTGATTGATTTATTATTGTTTTTACTATTTTTGTTTAGTTAGTTGGACTCCAGGAAGAGTAGTGTAAACTTTATGTATTACACTAAATGGAGATCGAAATAAAACAAACAAACAAACAGTAACACTGGAAGACCGAATTACAGACCTTGTGCCTGTGGTGAAGTAGGATTGCTTATAACTAAACCATGAAATCACAGCATGTTAACATTGTTAATTTGTACATGATGCAAGTCTGTTAAAAGTATGGTATACATTTTCGATGTAGATATACCCTCTTTGATTTAAATGACCATCAAACCAGGATGGAATAGCAAACCCACCCTATTACCAAAGTCCCTCAGCATCATAACTCCTAACGTCGGCTGTTCATCATCAAGTTCAGGGTAACTGACAAGTTCCCTGTCATCATGACTGGCATGGGGGGTAGCAGAGTCTTCTGGAAGAGCAGCTGGGGATACAAGTAAACAACAAATGAATACTGAATATATGTTATGCTGAAATATCAATGCTCTAGTGTAATATTTTCACATCACACTATCATTGTTAAGTATTGTAATATGATTAGAAAATATTGCAATACATTGATTATCATCATTGCAATACAAATTACAAGAAAATAACACATACCTTGTAGGAAGCCAAAATGTGCTGCCTCTTGATGTCTGAGTTGACCTGAGAAATTGACATTAAATGACAAATGAATTTGAATTTATGATGCCACCATTCATAATCATAATGCATAATCCTTCCTGCCTGTGGTAATATTTTAAAGGCAGTCTTATGATTGTTGATGCTACGATTATAAAAAGTAATGTGTAATTGCATAGACACAAAATAATGTTCTACAATCACAAAGAAAGTTTCACGTACCCTTGTCTACACATATGTCCAAGTTGTCCAGTGTAACAAAGTCACCTTCTTCTTCATCAACATCCTGGTACTGAAATGACGTTAACATTCAACATTACATGACAAGGACAGCGTGGTTCCTGGCCGAATGCCCTACCATATAATCTACGCCACACGTAACTGTTAAGCAACTGTTAACGTTATATAATATATATTTATGATTATCGTTAACTCCCCACTTTCACTTTATGTATAAACTTTGAAATACTAGTATGGGGGGGGCACCGATTAAAGTTATAACATACCTTATGTATTATGCTCTCCATCGCGGCCTTCAATCGGGCGGTGATCCCTCGTCTCTCCTCTTCCAAATCAAACGACAAGTTGTGAGCCATAATTTGTGACACACTCTGCAACACCTTCCTTCCGAAAACTACAGGACAACACTCAGCAAATGACGCGATTCAAACGTGGCCGCCAGTTTAAATCTGGACGGTTCCATTATGAATGGGTATGTCTCATTATCAAAAGGGAAAGACCGTCAATATTTTACCTAAGATTATATCACATCCTAGTTAAGTATATCGTATCTTATAAAAATCTATATAAAGAACCACAGATAATGTATCGGTGAACGAAAAAATATGGATTTCTCAATAATCATATTATATTACCGGATTACCACACCTAGGGAATAATGAACTGTTCTAACTTTGGAAACTTCCCGTCATTCCTTGTGTTTCCGGAAATGGCGGCTGATTGTTGTTTGTTAGTTCGAGCTTGAAAACAACAAAGATTTTCAAAGGAATATTGGCATTTCTGAAGCAAACCTCTGCTCACATAATGCCTTCTAAAGACAAGGGACCGTTACAGACTGCCCAGCGAGAAGGGGATGAACTGAAGAGAAAGGTAAGTGAACAAATCGCGCCTTGACCATGACAACAAGTGGGTAGGTGGGTGGGGGGGTCTTTGTAGTGTGAACTTCAGAAAAGGTAAACACTGAATTCAGGAGAGAAACATGGTGCTCCTAGCCTTAGAGCTAGGATTTACAGTTACACCAAGAAATATAGGACGCGCCAAGCATGCATACATACAAATTTTATGTTCAATGCCATAATTTTGTAGCCTGGTGAAACCAGACCGTCATCCCTTGCAAATGCATGTTGAAGTTCATTCATAAAGAGACCATGCATAAAATCAAAACTGTTGTCTCATCTTATTCTTAACTGTAGTTTTGCATCTTTGCAAAAACTGTATTTCTAATAATTTTGTCTACCTGAGTCACATTGACAGTAGTATAGCCATTTCATTGTTTGAAAATAGTCCTTGATAATCATAAGGTTATTTTTTGCAGGTAGATAACATAAGTCAGGAAGCTCAGTCCCTCCTGGATGATACCACCATCCCAGAGAGAACTACCAAGTTATCTGACCTGTACAGGGAGTAAGTTGACTATGTCATCTTTGAAATATACCCAATGCATGCTGTAGGCATCCTCTCCTCATTATTATTTCACAACATGTAATAGTAAGCACATAGGTAGACACATCTGTCCTAGGTCCTGAACACTAGTAGGTAGACACATCTGTCCTTGGTGCTGAACACTATCTATAAATAGGTAGACACATCTGTCCTTGGTGCTGAACACTATCTATAAATAGGTAGACACATCTGTCCTTGGTGCTGAACTCTATCTATAAATAGATAGACACATCTGTCCTTGATGCTGAACACTATCTATACATAGGTCTAGTTACTGGCAAGGTAAAAATGTAATTTACTGCTGGTATAGATACATATATGAGCAACACTCTACATTGTTGCTATATTTATTATATTGATTCAATGATGATTATCCTTACATACTAGTACACCATTATACTTTTACATCCTCAGGTCCATCAGTTTGAAGGAGACTGCAAACTCTTTGCATAAAAAGGTGTCAGCCCTAAGAAAGGTACAATTATATCAACTGTTTATATTTGTAAAATCTTCTTTAAGCACAGAGTTGCCAAATATGGTGTTGAATTTTCCCAGAAACTCCTTCCTCTTTCATAACGTTTTTGCAATGAAAGAAAGGAAATTTGATTTCTTTTCCAGGGAGATGAGCCAATCAAAATACCAGACTTTGATAGAAAGAAGAAAGATGAAGTGAAACGGATAGACGGACTCCGGGTAAGGACAGTCGTGTCTTAATGTATTTCTTAGATTTTTTTGCCAAAATAATACAGTATGCAGTCAGTCTGAAAACAAAGCAGTACATTTGTACCAGCTCTAGACTTAAAAAATAAACCTTGAGGTAAATGATGGCCACCATTTGGAATAAGTGATAATGATTGCCGATCATTGCAGAAGCATGTAAGTTGAAGAAACCATATCTTAATGCTTGTTCCTGTAGGATCAACTACAGAAACTGATCAGCAAACTGGAGCCTGATGAGGTAGAAGAAGATTACTTCAGGTATGGATGGTGTTTACTGAATTTGCAAAGTGCTGTTGATAGTGCTGTTTTGCATAAATGCACCTAAATATGGTAGCTGTTATAAGAACTTATAAACTGCATTGCTTGCAGTTGTAATACTCACTAACATGACACATTTTAAGAAATAAGCACGCCTTTATGTTACTTGAATGTGTAATTGTATGCCTTTTCTACCTGAGTACAGGAAAGTGCAGGAGAAGGGAGGAGCCCAGTCAGCTACAGAGACAGACGACACAGAGACTGGGGAGGATTCAGAAGAGGAAACGGATGAGGGAGAGTCAGATGATGATGAGTCAGAGGAGGACTCTGAAGAAGAAAGGTACTGTAAATCCACTTGTTTTAGTAATCGTTTAATGTCACAGTAGGAGGGGAAAGGGAAGCTTTTCACGCGTAGTTTCAGATTTTCACGCGTTTCTACAATAGTTACATAACTGAGAGGTCACCAATGAAAAATGCAAAAAAATAGAACCACTGTGAAAGTTTCCAGAGTTACAGTAACATCATTACACCTTACTCTCTTTTGTGTTCTTATTATCTCTTTTCTAAGCTTTGTGAATACATGAATGACGGATTTGCCCATTTTCTTGTCATTGCAGTGAGGAAGATGATTCAGACGAAGATGAAGAAGATTCAGAAGAAGAGCAGGACACAACTGAAGTAAAAGATCACACAGTAAGTTATTGCTAGAATCAGTTACCTTTATTGTTGTGGTAGCAAATCTACTGTGTTTGGCTGAGTTTCCCATTTTGATGATAGCAATCAATATACAATTTGGCAAGGTTGTTGACTTGGATAGTGCTAATGTATTGTGGCTTATTTCCCAATAGGAAAATAGACATTGTATTTTATCAGTACTGTGGTTATAGAGACGAAAGCTTTTAAGTCAAATACAGTCTGCACTTGCTGACCTGGCATGTTATTGTTAAGCCATGTGAAAATCTAGACAGGAGGGCATTTTACTGTATGTAGTTTTCAGTTTCAGTTGCTGGCCATTTCTTACCACTAATAAACAAATCATCTGATATTTTATTCTTTTGCTGTTGCCACTAGCATCTGACATTTTGTCTTGTTTTGCCCACCCATAGTTGCAACAATGGGAGGCCCTGTCTGACTTCAAGGGGGAACAAGAAGGTGACCTCAACTTCAAGAAAGGAGACATCCTCAGTATAGTGGAGAATCGGTAAATTGCTATGATGCTTATGATTTCCACGATGTATATGTGTCACTAGACTTCAGATGGTATGCATGGCATGGGGGATGTGGTCTTGTTGAACTTGAAGATAGCATTGGATTCTGTACTGTACGGTATTCAGGCAACCTACTCATTTTACTTACGATCTTATAGTCCTTAGATATGATCATTTCTTTCGCTTCCTAAAATAGTTTTGCTTTAGTTTTGTTCAACAAGTACATTTTTGTTCTTACTTTTTGCTATAGGGAAGATGGCTGGTGGTTAGCTGAGGACAAAAATGGTCAAAGAGGAATAGTACCAAGTACATTCCTACAGGTGACTACTGTACAGTGTATATAGAAGAACCAAATTGTTACTCACTGTTCACTGTACCCACCTTGCTTAAATTAATATTAATTCAACATGTTGCGAAAGTCTTCATTCTTTAAAATTGTGAACTGTCACTGGCTTGTTTCTTCTTTCAGTTGTACTAATGTTGCAGTTTTCTGTTACATGCCTATTCTTGTATGTTCTTAACACTGTGTTTGCATTCTTAAAAGTGCTTATCAATAGACACAATACAAATCAGATACTAGTATACAGATTGAATGTAATGATAGTTTTCAATGAACTTTGTGCTTTTCTTCTGTATAGCAGTTTCTTTTGTAGTTTGAACAGTTTTGAAACATAATTGTGTATATCTTACAGGTGTATGACAAATATCATGAAGTACACTCCCCAGAAGGTAACACTTATTTGAGTTCCAGTCAATTTTTACTTGAGTGTTAGCATTTTGTACGTCAATATATTCAAGTTAATTCTTACTTGACTGTTAGCATTTTGTCGTCATTTTTTCAGGCTTGTTTGAAATGCCATATCAATAATTGAATCTCGTCTTTACATCATAAATTTTACATGATTTTGACTGCCATGCTTTTAATAATTATTGCAGAGGAAGGAAAAAGAAGATCTAGATGCCTCAAAAGCGTAAGTCCATGTCTCGTTTCCAATGTCCTGCCTATAGATTTATGATTATTAACTCTGTGTAATAATCTGTCTAATAGTAATTCCGAATCCCTATGGAAATTGTAGCTGATATACTATATGACAACAACCTTCCTAAATACTAGGCCATGTATAGTATAGATTGCGCTCTACTATGCTAATTGAGCTGTGAATTGAAAATTGCAAGTACTTGCATGTTGTATCTAAATATTCTATATTTTCAAATTGTAGCAGCGGGAAATCACTCTGGAGGAAAGTCAGTAAAGCCTTTACTGAGGTGAGATATCCATGCTGTGGGAGTTTACAATAATCTTAGGTTTGCCAACTAGGAAGGATAGATTAAACTCAATGCAGTCATCTGTAATTGTTTACATACATTTGTAGTTGAGTACATCATGACACCTTTAGAATCAGACTCTGTATACATGTATTTTGTATTGTTACTAGTTCTTCATCCTTAGGGCGTTATGTATTACGTTTTGCCATTTTTATCTGTGGGACTAGATTGATCTCAGAGAAGTATAATGGTTAGGGAGTTGTGCCAAGTCTCTGACTGCTTTCTTCTAAGTTGTTGGCTCAGCACATGTTTCATTGACTCATAGTCATAGTTTGATTTAGATAATATGTAATGTCCAGATTTTTGTGAGTTATGTGCCAATGTTTTATTTCATTTCCCCAGACATCAGTCACAGATGTGTTGTCTGCCATGGGAGGTATCCCATCAGGCTTCAGGCACTCCACACTCCATAAGCTGTTAGAGGAGGATGGTGAGTTTTAACGTACATAAGTGTATGTGCTGAAATGAATGCACAGCCAATATGTATACATTGAAATGAATATGTTTTCAGCCTATTCATTACATCTTACATGTAAGCAATCTGTATGCATGTAGACAGTAAATGTGTATATGGTCAGCTGGTGTGTTACGCCGAAAGGCAGTTATACCGGCTATACAGATACAGATACAGATGGTATTCTGTGTTATCCATACAGAATCATATTGTTGTTGTTATACATGTATTTATCATTTTTGACTGTACCTGCATGCAAATTACCCCAAAGGACATTTGAACTTGATCTGTTATTACTTATACATGTTGTAGTAATATGCATTAGCTAATGAGCAAAATCTTATCAGACTCATTCAAAGGGCTGTAATATCATATTCAGAAACTACTGTGGTACATTTCCTTTAATGAAAAGAACTAATGTGGGTCAGCACAAGCTATAAAGCATTGTGATAGCAGTGTTAGGATACATGTATCTACTGTTTCTGCAGAGACCTACACCACAGGACACTACATCTACCCCAAACTGAGTGAATCTCACCTGTCATTTAGGGACCTGCACTGGAACCCAACAGACTGTAAGGTAGGCTGCAATTTGCTTCAGTTGTGGCTGTGTTTCAGGCTATTTAGAGAGACTACTGGCTACCTGCCAGCTCTATACCTCAGTAGTACAGATCTAACTTCCAATTGGTTTCCTTCAAAGGCAGGCTGACACAAACTGCTGTATTCTTTTTGATTTTTAAGAATGTAGAAATGTACTCTTTGGATGTGGCTGTCCAGAAAACCAATTCAACAAAAGAATTGCAACCGTTACCAGCAGGGTGTTGTATGTCAGGCCTCCGAGAATAATTCCATCAAGTTGGCAAGAGCCTGGGTAAGAAGATTCTTCATTCAACAACCTGTGGGTGTTTACCTTCCACATTTTGGTGACTGTCACCTTCCTCAGGGCAACAATAACTGCACTGTCTTGCATTTCTTCAGATCCGGTCCAAGACTGTCCGTATCCAGAGAACATTCACTCTGTGGAACTGCAAGGCGGTACCAGACACTGGGTCAGGTATGGTAACCATTCTAGCCCAATCTCTTGCCTCTTAATGCACAATTAAACCGTGTTTGTGTTTCTTGTTTACTGAATGTCAATAGATACTAAAACTTGAAGCATAGACACTGCAGCATGCATTTTGAACAGTCTAACCACTGCTTTGTGTATTACTACAGCCTTAGATGTAAAGAGCCGGCATGTCAGAGTAGCTCTCTTTGATGGTGTCAAGGTATGGCTTGCTGTCAGAATACATAGTCACAGCACAATGTTTATCTTCAGAATCTGTCAAAGTCAGACACAATTCTAGAATTTTTATGATAATCTAATAGTTATGTTTTCACAAAGCCTCAGTGTTCCATGTTAGTTCTTTCATTTGTCAGAAGTACACTGTACAGTCACACAGTTCAGGCCCTATTGTCTTCACTTGTCTTCTTAAATAAGTTTCACCCACTTAAGAATTTGGTACACTGAAGAAGTCGTTTGTCAAATGATAGTGCATGTATCAAAAATAAGTTCAAAGGCTTTTATGTCCTACATGTATCTAATGTAGATTTAATCTAACGTACATATATGGCTTGCTAAAAATTTTCTCTTTTGTTACATATCATTTAGCCCTTCTTGGCATGGAATGCAATAAAAATCATTATCATTATATATTTTTGTGTTCACTCTATTGACTCCTCATGAAATGTCTGTTTTGTGAACAGGTTCTAAGTAACATTCACACAGTCCAGGCCAAGTGGCTTGAGAAGGAACCAAAGACCTGGACCTTCAACCCAAGGGCAAGTACAAAAACTCAAAAACACAAAATTAGAGTTCCAAAATATTTGCAACAATTGTTACTTTGCCACGTAAGAACATTAATTATGATGTGCAATTACCATTTTCAATGCCAAAAAATATACAGATTGATGATTGTTGTCTAATAGTGCAACTTAATAATTAAGTATCAGTACTTGTATCAGTATCTTGCTGTTTAAATTTGATTCTTTTATAAAATGTGTGAACTTTTACTACAGTAGATTATGTGTGTATACCAAAGATAAGGTTTCACCCTTTATAAAGGCTTTATGAAGAAATGTTATGAAATAGTCTTACAACTGTCACTGTCTGTTCAGGTACAGGGAATGCTGCCAAGTATTCTGGATGGAGAATGTTTTGTCAGATCAAACAACATGGAGCAGAACATAGGTTAGAACAAATACAGACATTTCACATCTTTATTGAAAATATCATGTACAACACATTCAGTAAATGGGTATTTTCTTTGTGTCATAGGTCTTATTTATCTTCATATACATGTACTGCTCTTTGTGTTGATGATTCATTGATAGGTTATCATTCGTTTTTACAGGTCTACTCTTTGAATTGGGTGTCACCTATGTCAGAACGGTAAGTTTTCCCATGTCTAAGGGGTAGGGGCAGTATGTTGATTCCAGACAAACCCGCAAAAGAATATGCAGAATCCATGCAGAATCCTTTTATATGTAATTTTGTCTTCATCATTTGTTTTCAATTTTTTAAAAGAAAACTGGAGAGCAAGGTGAACTGAGCTGTGGCTGGGCCCATCTCAAACTGTTTGATGACAATGGCAGCCCTATTGCAAACAAGTAAGTAACAGTTCAACATCTCACACCTGAACTGTACATGATTTTTTTAAATTATTCCATTGGCTTAAGACATTTTGAGGTGAAGCAAAACATTTTGACAGGTTCACAGTGTACTTTTCTGAATGAATGAATGGTTTATTGGATCATTTTAATTGATCAGGTATGAAAAGTACATTGCAGCCATAGGCTGAATTGCGTACATGTACTTTTTACATGCTTAAAAGCTGTTGGCATTAGGCTCTTTACCGATTAGCACAAGAAACACTACTTCAAAAAAGATAGGCTGTAAGAAGGATACATTGTCGTAGTTCAAACATATATATAAAGTCACAACATTGAGAACAGTAAATGTAGGTTTGAATTCTACCAATTCATACTGTCAATTATCTGTGCAGGTCCTATGACTGTACACTAAACGGTGGTACTCCCTATGAGAAGGGAGTGGAGGTAGACCCTGCAGTATCCAGAACAGGTGAGCTTGTCTAATCATGTGCCAGTTTTAGACATTCAAATAGACTTTGTAATCTAAATCGCTGGTTTCAGGTGTATGTCTTTGTATTGAAATTTGAGTCTGGTTCTCTGTTCACACGACAATGTGTGATCAAATGAAACAGTACAGATGTAACTTGGGGACCTATTCAGTTAGCTGTGAATGTTTAGCTCATTCATTCAAAGGCATAGCAGTGCACTGTATACTGTTTGATGATGCAGTGTCACAAGTAAGTCAGTCATTAAAAAAACAGCAGCACACAAACACATATAGAAATTTGTACATTGACTTTTCATTTTGCTTTCCTCCTTTAAACTAACACAAGCAAATAAACTGTTCTTTTGGGTTAACTTCTCAGCTAAGTGAGCTAACATATCTGTTCCTTAGTTTATTCCTACAGGTTCGTCTTGTATAAGTTCTAACCATGCATGACCACCTTACTCTGTATGTATATGTCTGTTGGCTGTCAGCTTTGCATTTTGGCCTGACCACCACTTGTTGCGTGCACTTTCACAGTCTCCCACTTTCTATCAATTTTTTTTCCTTTCATATATACTATTACTAGAGTACTTATATACTAAATCAAATCAACTATTTAACACAGACATATGCAGTGTTTGACTTATATTAAGAACGTGACATTGTATATGCACAGCTCTTTTGATATACAATGTGTCTAATGTAATGTGTCTGAATTATGCAATGCTGTGCTAAGATTAGTGACATTTCGTTCCATATCTTTACACTGGGGAAGTGGGTATTGGTGAATGGGGAGCAGGGATTGGGAAAGTGGAAATGATGAAAAGATGGATGCTAACTTGAAGTTGAACACTGACTAAATATCATATTATTCTCCTTTTAACAGCCAAGTACCCCACATCCAAAACAAAACACAAAAACCTTTCAGGCAGGTACCATAGGTGTGAGGCACCAAAGTGTGGTTGTGGTGCAGCACTTTGTTCATGGGGAAAGCTTTACATTTTGCAATGTTGGAGCAGCTCACTTTTTAGACTGTTTGCAAAGGCTAAAACAGTCCAGTGATATATGCATTTTTGTTTTCAATTTAGAACTTTTGAATTTTGTGAGTTGAAGTGAACAAAGGAACTAAACTAGTGCCACATCAAAATATAGTTACATGTATTTATTTGTCACCAAACAAAAAACAACAAAATAGTACATACACTGTATGTGTTAACATCACATTAAATTTGATAAATCATAGTGATCAATGTTCTCACTTATCTGTGGTGTTAAGAACACAGAAATTCTGTGATGTTCTTGTAACAATTTAGACACTCAGTAGTTTGCTTCCTAAGGATTTCTTGAAATGAAAAAGATTAATATAATAATTACATTTTACTTTGTAGGCTTAGCATACAAATGATTATACAACAGTAGCAAATTCAAAATTTGATTTACAAGGGTAAAACTCATTCCATGTCCTGGCTTCTAGGTACACATACATGTAGTTGACCTGCATTACTTTATTATCCCCTCCCCCTTCCCAATGCATAACAGCAAGTGGTAGTCGCTTTAAGTCACTGCTGACAGCCAATAAACAGCCTCATCTCATGGTGAAGGTTGGAACTCCCAACAAAGAGAGAAAAGACATCTTAGAGTGAGTAAATCTGTCCTAGGTCTTTTTTTAATGTCGTTATAGTTTATAATACATGTAGTTATCTTTTTAAGACATATGGACCTTATTATAGAGTTGCTACCAGGTTATTACTTTTTGTACATGTATATTGCAGAACACAAACTAATTACATTAGATTGCAAGCAGTTGAGTTGCAGAGATCTGACCATACAGTACTGCAGGAATGATAACAAGATTTTTTTGAGAATGACATGTGGTTTCTCCTTTATGTTGATCTTATATTTTTTTTCCATGCCAGCATGTTGCCGGACACACTAGTAAGTAGTGTGCACTATGCAGAGTTCACAGCGTACTATCGACAGATCCTAGCTGACACTCTGCTAAAGGACAGGCTGAACATGTACACTGCAGGTACGTATGTAAATATATTTTGGAATGACAAATATGACCTGAAATTGTGCAAAACTCTGCAGAACTGTAGCAGATGAAGCAAGTGCCATTTGCTACCAGTCCTTGCCTTTAAAGAAACCTATCAATAATATGTTTCATTCTCTGTGCTGTATAATTCTGTTAAAATGGTGTGTAAATCTGATCAACATGCCTGAATACTGTTGGAAGAAAATATAATACTGCATGCACAAACTTTGAAATTCAGCTTAAAAGTTAATGGTTCATATTTAGAGAGAGATTCTGTACTAATATCAAAGCAATTTTAGATGAGATGCTGTCAAGTGTTGTATATCTATGTTTGTGACTTGGTAGGACTCTGATGAAGTGTTAACATGTCTCTTGTCTGCACAGATCTCATTCACAGCCCTGTGCTGGCCCAGTTTCCCAAAGCCATCATGCAGACAGACATCATGGATGCCATCAGAGTGAGCCAAATTTATGATATATTGATCTGTACACATAATATGGAACAGTACTATTGTAGTGCTGTATCTTGATGCCAATTGTGGCCACAGAGTTATTCCAATACGAGCAAAGAAATAGCGAGTTACATGAACCTGGTCTGTGCAGTAGTGATTATAAGCTAGGTTTTGTTGATTAAAAAAAAGCAACAGATTAGTATGATATTGCACAGTCTCTGTTTTTCTTCATGCAGAACATCATGAGTGAACATGAATAGAGTGTTGTACACAATATATAACAATTTTGTTTAACATTGCTAAAGTTTGCATCTGTGTAAATGTTTTCTTTTCAGAGTGCCTGGGGTGAGAAAATGAAAACCCTGAAAAAAGCAAACAAGGTGGGAAGTTGTCCAGCATTACACATTTCTATCTGCCACACAATTGGTAAAATTTGAATTGGAAGGCATTTGTTTTCAACTGAAAATGGAGATTAAGATTCTTAATATTCTACATATTGGTCTAATTTTTTTGACAAGAAATACCACTAAAGTGAGTTAAGTCAGTGATATTAGCATGAGAGAAGAACTATGATATAACAAGCAAATTGAAATGCTAAAGTAACATACAAAGTTTACAGGGGAAGCTGAGCTGATGTTCATCCTATACATTCTTTGATTGCTAACTTCCGCCCATCCCTGTGTCGTCCCCAGCGTGACAGTGAGCAGATGAAGGGCCTGTTTACCCAGGTGTTTGTGGAGACGGCCTATGCCCTGCTGTTTTCCTCCTCACTCCCTGAGTACAAGTGGTGGGACATGTCAGTCATGGATGTGAGTTCACAAAGTCTGAAAATTGTTGCTACGGTTTAGTCAAGTTTGTAGATGGCCTTGCAGTTGGTGTTTGACTGTCCTATTCTAACCAGGCCTGTAGCAACCCTCCCACCAAAACAGAAGGATTCCTTAATATCTCAGAGAACAAGTGTCTGTGTTATGCAGAATTGGACTCATATATATATATATATACATGTATGTATATATATATATAAATATAATGTTTTAAGCAGATGAATACAAAAAAGTACAAATTGTAGTAGCATCCTAACACACAATCAGCCAGACCAACAGCGTTTGTTTTATGTCTGTTATGATATTTCAATTTGATTAAAATGATTTAACTCAATATAGCTTAGTAATTAAGAATGAACTTTTCCCCCCAGGCAAGGTGGAAGGAAATCTCCAAGTTCTTAAAGAAGAACCAACAGAAGGGTGGACTTGCCTCCCTTCTTTCTCCCGACTCCCTCCACGAACCATTCAACATTGCAGAGGTCAGCTTTGACCTCTTGTCAACAAACTGTACGACATAACACGTTTAGGTAATGGAAAGCAAGTTTAGTAAAGTTCAATCAAAGTCTATATTCATAGGAAGCCTTTTTATTAGTGTGTAAGTACTAGAACCTGTTGTAGAATTCACATTTCAAGTGCCCTCTTCAATAGACTGAAATAATTTTGAGACTATTCTATTGCAGTTATAAGTGTTACACTCTTTTTCTTCTCTTTTGTCATTAGCATTCCTGACATAAAGATGTCTTACATTGTGGACTGTTTGATAATGTATTATTTTGTGTCTATTTTATTTAGCCCAAATGATGACCTAGTCATTCAGAACCACTGTTGAAAGCAAATAGTTTTGAGTTGATCAGGTTTAAAGTTTACTGATTTTGCTGTAATATGATTTACCAGTCTCTGACTGATACACAAGCTGTATAATTAGAAAAGTTTTTCCATATAGCTGCAGTTACCGTGAATCCATCTTAGCAAATACGACTGCTGTTGGTACAATTTACTCTGACTTGCAGCCTGTTATAAACCTTTTATTGGATGAAACTTAAGGTTGTAGACTTGTGACTACTATATGTATTTTTCTAATAAAAGTTATGCAATAATAGCTTGGTGTGTTTTTTTTATCTTGAAAAGTTGTTAAACACTATGGGCTTGTTGTGTTTCATGTTATGTTACTACAAAATGTACAACTAAGTTACTGCAGATGTGGACAGGACAGCATGTTGCCTATGTGCAGCATCTTTTAGAGTAGAGTAGACTAGACTAGAGTAGAGTAGACTAGAGTAGAGTAGAGTAGAGTAATGTAGTCCTTACGGTCTGGCTTCGTTATGACAGTATTTTGCAGTCAGATTAATTGCTGGATATGAACTTCACACATGCATCGCACAAGGTTGGATATGGAAGAAGTTGGCCACTTCTAGACGTTTCACAGCATTATCTTCTGTGATGGTGTTTTTTTATTGCATATATAGTCCTAGCAAGTATCCCCTCTCAAATTTTAATATAGTATCTTCCAAAACCTTTGAACCTCCAGGCAGGAAGATCTCCATCCGTAATTTCAGTGATGTTCACGCAATCCTTTTGAGTCCAAACGCGGGTCTATACAGACGCCAGGTGAAGTCTGAGGAAATACAACAGCTTTCATTTGGCTACCAGCCCAGGGAGATACCTGGTTAGCCGGCCCATGCCGCCTGGCACCCAGCCTTTTCCATAAACCCAGGATAATGAGATACTTTTTTCTAAACCATACTACATGCATATGCTATGACTTCAGTACTTTTTATTAATGTTTCATATATCTACATCTATATTCGCTGTCTTTATCCCGCATATTTATCCTTGTTTTTTTTAATTATGACCTTTGAACTTCTTGGCAGCTTCCCGCTCTTTTGCGGCCAGGCTGTTGATGAGGGAAGTCGCCTGCAGTTTATTCCCGACTCAGCTCCGGTAAGTCTCTGGATTGCCAAAATTGTCACAAAACTATTGAAGCAACTGGTAATACATGTGGTTATAGTACCAAACAAACCTACGTATATGAAGTTTGTCGGAACTGAGGAAAGAAACTGCGTGATTTTCTGACAAACAATGGAACGCAGTCTTCGTCCATCTGTTTCTAGTTACCGATCCGAACAGACGATGCGTAGTACTTTTTCCCTGTCAAACCAGGTACAGTTCCTATGAATACTACAGTAACACCTAACATAACCCAAACCCCTGTATAGCCGTATGTAGCCGTGGACGACTCTGGTACACCTTTTTGCATGATAATGCCGGTCGTCCACGGCTAAGTGATCCTGTAATAGCCTCTACCACTGTCCTGACTCCAGGCTTCGGGAGGTGGCTGGAAAATAAATTATATGGAGCAGAGTACATTCAGTGAGTAAATCTTCCCAAAAACCATGTGACGAAGGATCCGGGAAATTTTGAACCCTCGACGTCCGTTTGCATAACGAACTAATACTCTGCCCTTCCATATTACGTTATAAGCACAGGGTTATAAAACATTTAACATGATTCAACGAAATTCCTACACTTTTTGTCATTCAGACTCTGTGTACAATGTCCTTGTTCAGACCAAGGAGTCTTATACAACAGGGTTGGTGGAAAAAGCGGGACTATCTAGGAGAATTGTCATCTTGTGTCTAGAAATCATGTATTACTGGCAATGTTATGTCTACATGAGGGAATCTTGGCAATCAATGAATATTGGGGAAGGGACGGTGGTACATTGTAATATGCTTAATGGTAAAATTGTTCTTGCAAAAGGTTTTGGGAACAAGTTCATTTGACTGTTCTTAAAATTCTACATAATGGGTGTCATTGTGACACAACCAGACCCTCTGGACTGTAGTGACAATACCGCAATCTGGCATTCAGCTTCAGGATATGACTAATTTATCAATAATTTTTAACGATGAAATTCAGAAATCATACATGTAGTAGTAACATGCTACCGGGGTATATAGAATTAAGGCCTGCTACAGCTCACAGAAATAGGCATGCAGACCCTCTCATACATGTATGCCTTGTTGTTTTTCAGGACTAGAAATGATGGCAGGGTTGCAGAGATCACAGGCATCGTTTGACTTCTGCCATGATCCACATGCAGACTCCCTCTTGCAGCGCTTGCAAAAACTGCGATCTGACAACCAGCTGGTTGATGTTACCCTTTGTGTGTCTGGAAAAGAGATCCCTTGCCACCGAAATGTTCTGGCTGCTTGCAGTGAATACTTTCATGCAATGTTCTGCAATGGACATCGTGAGAGCAATGAGCATAAGGTAACTATTCATGAAGTCAATGGTAATGCCATGCAGCTTCTTGTTGACTATGCGTATACATCAGAAATCACCATCACAGAAGATAATGCTGTGAAACTTCTAGAAGCGGCCAACTTCTTCCAGATCCAACCCGTGCGTGATGCATGTGTGAAGTTCATATCCAAAAATCTAAATGCTGAAAACTGTCTGCAGATGCTGCACATAAGCAACATGCTGTCCTGCCCACATCTGGAGAAGAAAGCGAGGTGGTTTGCTTTGAGGGAGTTTGCAGCAGTCAGCAAAACACCAGAGTTCATTTCTTTGACAAAGGACCAGCTCATCACGTTCATCTCATCTGACAGCCTCAATGCTTCAGAAGAAACTGTGTATACAGCAGTGATGGCCTGGATCAACCACGACACCAGGAAGAGGAGGAAGGAGATGAAAGAGCTGATGGAACTGGTCAGGTTCCCCTTCATGGACAGATTGTACTTCTTGGAGAATGTGGAGGGTAACGATGCTGTACGCAAGTCTTGCCAAGATATCATGATGGAAACTCGCAAGTTCCAGCTGTTCCCAGGAGAGGTCCAGTCACCTCGTACCCATCCTCGCCGTGCCAGTGGTTGGAGGGAGAAGGTAGTGGTCATTGGAGGGATAAGAAACAAGAAACTGTTGGAAACAATTCTAGAGTTTACTCCCACTGCATAACAGTGGACAATGGGTATGGGGTTCTGGCCAGATTTAGGGAGAGCACTGATAGTTTTCCACTATATGCTGCTGCTGTTCTGGGCACAAATGACATTATTTTGTCTTCTGGCAAGCGTGTCTTGCTGTATCAGCAGGAACTTGGGCCCACAGGCTTTTCCACACTTCATGAGATGAATACAGAGCGATATGATCACAGCCTTGCAGTGTTGAATGGTAAAGTGTATGCAGTTGGTGGCAAAAATGACACCATTCCTGCTCTAACATCTGTTGAGGTCTATAACCGTCGAGAAAATGTTTGGGAAGAAGGTGTTGCACTCCCGCAGGCAAGGTGCAAGTATGCCATTGCAGTGTTAGATGGCTGCATATATGTGATAGGTGGGTATGATGCAGATCAGAAGCAGACCTCTACTGTATATCGCTTAAAGCCAGGCGACTCCCATTGGCAACCCCAGAAGGACATGCCTGTTAGAGGTGCAGGTATTGCAGCTGCAGCTCTCAACGGTAACATTTACGTTGCTGGACTTCGGTCAAAAGTGATGTGTTTCAAGCCAAGTGAATGTGGTGGTTCCTGGAGTGTTGCAGCCAACACAGGAGTTGGAAGGTTGTGTGGAATGGCTGTCTGTAATGGGAGGATTCTTATCTATGGAGGCTATGACAATGGCAATGGAAGTAAAGATGTCATGTGCCTTATTCCAAAACACCAGTCATTGGCACGCATAGGATGTATGAAGCAGGGTTTGTTTGCCCATGCTTGTGTCACTATACTGAGGTACAAAAAGGAATCTTCATATAGGCTGTATTAAAAAAGAATGTACAAAGTCTTATTTTGGTACTACAATGTATGTGACATTGAGCAGCTGATAAAGTGAAGCTTCCATTGTTGTACTTTGTTGAACCTCAAAATAGAAGAATGAGTTTTAGTCAAGCAAAACATGTGTATGTACATGTACGTACACTTCATGAGTGTCTTTTTACCCAATGTTTATCAATGACCACTCTTAACCAGTCCATATCTTGCTGACGCAAGGCAGAATGATTGTTTTGATACACTATCATATGTGACCATTTATTGTAAGTCTGGCATTTATTTGATTGGTTGATCGGTTGGTCAGTTGGTTGAAAAATCATTTTATGACCAGCTTTCTTTTATTTCAAATAAGTTTGATAAGTCAATCATTAACCTTTGAATTTTGTTGTTGATGTCACAGAAATTGGCAGGTCTTTTAAGAGGCACTTAAGAAAAATATAACATAGTTGTAGGTTGTTTTTTTTTTACATTTGTTACTAACAAACATACCTTTAGGTGATATCCAATTTAATTTAGTGCAAATACATGTTATTCTTTCACAATTCATATTTTTGTATACTACATGTAGTAACTTCCATAACAGTAGGGGTCGAGAAGGAACAAGAAGAGATAGACGAAATTTCTTGTAATTGTTTTAGTATATTTTTCACACATTTTGATGTTGTAGAATACTAGTATTGTTTCATTGTAGGGTCTACCGCTTGAGCCATAGTATAAATACATGTATAACATCGATGATTGCATAGGGTCAAATGATGATAACAGTCTTGTAACTTCTCATTTGCATATTTATTGCTTTGCATAAATATTTGACAGTCACCATTGTTTGTAGTCATCCAGAATGAAGATAAGATTTTACAGTACAAATTGCACATGCAAAACTGTTATTCTCAGTCAAACTGTATCATTATTAAGTAGAGTTGCCAAGATACTGATACAAGAACACATTCCATATGTACATGAGTAAGACGTACAATTGAGTATGGATAGTAAGTATATTGTGAACAATTAAAAAATCATGCGGTAAATTAATATAATTAGTATTTACAAAAGATGTGCATTGTTGCCCTTTTGTCAAACATTTTGACATTGCCAGAAACAGATTGTGATTACAAATACATGTATATCACAATGTTACTAAGAGCTCCATAAACAATTCACTATCGATATCAGCTCAGTCCTTTAATTTAAATTTTTGCTAGCAACATTGTTCTGTCAAAGATAAAGCAACCTCATAATTTGTTCTTGTTTTTAATTTACAAAACTGCATTATTAGTTACATTTGAATCACTTAATATCAGATTATCATCTTTACATATTCTCAATTAAAATATGATATCTATTGACCAAGATATGCTGTCACAATATTATAAACACACTTGACCAAAAAGGTCTCAGAAGTATGTTGGTCTGGTGTAGATATGGTACAAAATATGTAACATTACTTAGAAATTATGTTCCATCTCTAATGCTATGGCAGTACTACATTTTATCTTTCAACTTGCTTGCAGAATGTCTCCTTAGATCTACCAGTATTCCACTCTTTCAATATGAAGAGTTAAATAGACTACCGGTATACCACAATGTAACACATTAAAACTAACAATGAACAAACTGTCATGTGATTGTTTTATGGCTTGAATTGCTTAAGTACATGTATTGTAAAAAGATCTTACTGCATATGTTCACATTAATGATATGCCTTTGGCATTGTATTGCTTCCTTTCAATGGCTTTTGTAACTTCTTAAACTAAAAAAAGTTCACTGATTTGTAAAGAAATTCACTATGATCATTACATTGACATTGCACTTAAGGTACAATGTATCTTTACTCAGATCACATACTTTTCCCTTATCTCCAGTACTATCTCTGATGGCCTTGTTTTCCTTTTACTAATGAAAAGCATTTGAGTTTTCTGAACACTAGGGGGAGAATACCAAATTAATACCCATGTGACCGGTTGTTCAATTTGGACGGAATATGTACAGTACATGCACTGCATACTTTGAACCTCAAGGAACAGATACAATTCTGAAAGTCTGCTTTGATATTTAGTAAACATGAAAAATTTTATAAAACAAATATACATGTACAACGGATCTCTCATCAGACTCAAAGATAATTCTGGCCGTGTAGACCTACATTTATATATTGGACATACACATGTAGTATTTTACAACAAATTTGCTATTTTGCAGAAAAGCCCACAATTTTCCCACAGACTGATGTAGAGTATGGTAAGTATTGGCCTGTGCCATATTAGGATTACATTTTAGATTACTGAGATCGTTGCAAGTAAACCTTTTAAAATTTACCTGCCATCAGTTTCATTGAGTACTCATACACAAGGAATGTCGTAGCATTGACGGGAATAGCACGGAGCAAGTTGACCCCCAGCCCTCGGAACAGTATCCTCGGCCCCCCTCCCTCCAACTGCGTACAGTACAGTCTACGACACCCTTATATTCCTTCTGGTGAACCCCGTCAGCCTGCAGCCTACTCTTGATGACATCCATGGGACTGCAGGAGGCCCATGTGGCCACGCCGGCCACACTCCCCGCCAACATGTACTGTACCGGGCCCAGCTCACCACTACTGGGTCTTAGGAGGTCACACGTGACGGCGTAGAAGATGAAATAGAAGGCGTACCCGGGAACGTCCCGTAGAATCAGACTGAAGAGACCGCGGTAGATCCCCAGGAAACCATCCTGTCGGATTATGCTGCCAATACAATCAAAAGGGCCGCGGTATCCAGCCGCCATGTTGGAATGCGCTCCTTGGACAATTCCATTACTGCCTACAGCTGTGTGATAAGATTCACATTGTCAGAGGGATACACATTTTGTATAGTCAATATCAAGTGATGAAGGTACACAGTATCCTGTTCTAGCTCATAGGGAGCCATTGCTTATAGAGAAAGAAAAAGGACATTGTTCAGCCATCATGTTATTCCTAAAACTGATGAAAGCATTAATAAAAACTACCAGTACCTTTTACACCAACCCGATGAGTCTGAGATTGTAGCCTAATTTTTATCAGCTCGATGGGGCAGGCTACAAAGGCCTGCACAAAGCCTGCAAAACAGGCTGCAGCAGCCTGGTCCGTGTAGCTGGGCTTGTGGTCCGTGCTTCCATACTTCCACTCCTGGATCTTCCTCAGGGAGTTGTTGTTTGCTCCAAATGCCACAGACAGAGGAAATGCTATGGTAGCCAGCGGAAAACTCATACCCTTAAAGAGGGCAAGTGGCTGAAATATACAGAGATGAGCTTTGTCAGCTATTATGCTTTGTGTTGAGAGTAGCTTTGACACAATCTGACACTGTAACTTCAACTCAAGGTGATAAAAGCAAGATGATTTGCATTGTCCTTTAGGTTTTATTACTTAGGTAGGTGTGTATGTTCTTATAAAAATGCATGCCATGGACTGATGTACATGTATGGTAATGGTACATGTAGATTGAGACAGAAGAATTGGAAATGAAGACTAGAAGTCCTTTTGAATACTGACCCCTTCTTTCTTCACCAGGCTGGTTAGAATATGGATTGCCCCACCACTCTTGTTGGTTTGTAACCGCACCTGGACAAAACACAAGGATTCTCTGACATTTGTACATTTGTCTCAAGGAATAGCAAAACTTTTGTTACGATAATGTGACTCACTTTTAAAGCCGCAAACAAACACCAAAAAATTGCACAACTTCATCTCTGAAAAACAGAAGAGATCAAACCATACCTTGACAGTATCCAGGGGATATCCCACAAATACACCTGCTCCTCCTGAACAAAAAAACAATACAAAAATTTGTGATTTAGACATTTCATTGTTTTCAATTAGTAAATGTATAAATCTTGTAATAACTTATCATTATCATCATGGTGCACTAAGGTCTCAGACCGAAGTTTCTTTTGTGATTTTGTAGTTGGTGGACACTGTTACACCCTCAGGCAGGGGGCTACAATTCTGCCCAGAAAAGTATACCAGAAAATATCATACCAGTCAACCAATTTTTCCAGTTTACCTACGATAAAATTTTGGGTATCGCCTGTGGCCTCTTCAATTGCAGTAAAAACAGAAGTAAAATGTACATATTAGCTGCCAAGTCTCTTTCATTTGCAAAGAGGACAAAAGAGACTCAGTTAAGCTAAAATAGGTTTGGTCACCAGGCTATGGGTCCTGGTGTACATAGTGTAAGTTCCGTATACTTAGCAGACAAGGAGGCCAGACGATGAGTAGTGTGGAGCTGAATCTATTCTGCTGTAGAACAAACTATACACAGGCTTTCCATGTGGTCTAGTTCACCTCTGACCCCGGGTTGGCTCATTCTCACCCAGGGGGGGTTCTACTTCTGTGCCTTACACTCTTCCCCCCTTACGATGGGGACAAACTTCTCCTGAAGTTATATATCAGGTATCTATAGCATACTCTAGGACTACCATATAACATACTGTAATAACAGAAAGTCACGTTGAAGTTAACAGTGCGACAGGGTATATATATATATATTGAACAATACATGAACTCGAAGTTAGGATATATTGTATGTAATGAGTAAAGTCAAAATATAACGAACCGACAAATGAGTTGCGTAGTAAGTATACTATATAATGAATAACAAAGTACTCTATTAATAGAGTTCTGCCAAGAAGGAAGTAGTTCAGTTCGGACGTGGCAGAATTACTGGTCTGGGTCCAGTTCAGAGGTGGCAGAAGCACTGGGCTGGGTAGAAGTCTGGTTATACAGATGCCACAACTCAGTAGAATGTTCCCGCATAACGGTCCGACCCTTGTCCGTCAAGGGGTGAAAGTAGGTCCAACTCCAAACCCTCGTCAATCGAGGGGTGAACACAGGTTTCACGAGGTTGTCACTAGCCTACGAGAAAGTCGTCGTACCTGGGTGGGAGTCGGACTTGACGGCCTCTCGCTGTCGTAGTGGTGGGCGTGGTTCCCTGGGGAGGGTCGAAACATCGTTTCAGCCTGTTGTAGTGTACCACTTGGGTACGGCCATCTGGATCTCGGAGGCGGTATGTGACCCCGTCCGGAGTGAGTCGGTCCGTGACTGTGTATGGCCCCTTCCACTTAGGCTTCAACTTTTGTCGCGCCGTTGTGGGATCATGCAGCCACACCCGATCGCCTGCTTGATACGGCACATGGTGCGAGATCTTGGCATCATATGCCAATTTCTGCCTGCCGCTCGCTAACTGGGCGTTCCGTCGCACCTGTCGGAACGCGGTCCGGAGACTGCTCAGCGACGTGCGGGGTAGGGGCGGCGCCCATGAGTATGTCTGCCGGTAAGGTGGCCTCCCTACCCGTGACGTAAGATAAAAGGGTGTGAAGCCCGTCGAGGCGTGCACGGAGGTGTTATATGCAAGCAATACATGTGGGAGAATGATCATCCCAGTCGTCTCCAGATTCCGAGACATATTTGGTTAGCATTTCCTTCAGTGTCCTGTTGAACCGCTCCACCAGCCCGTCACATTGAGGGTGGTATGGGGTTGTGCGGGTCTTCCGGATACCCAGGGCAGCGTATAAGTTCTTCATGACGGTGGACTCAAACTGACGGCCCTGGTCCGAGTGTAGAGACTGAGGTACACCATGTTCCCGGATGTAATGCGTAAAGAGCACTTGCGCCACGGTGGCGGCATCCTGTCGCCTCAATGGATAGGCGTTGGTGTACTTGGTGAAGAAGTCTTGCACCACTAAGCAGTATCTGTTACCCTTCTTGGACAAGGGGAGCTCTGTCAAGTCCATTGCAACTTTTCGAAAGGGTGGCTTGCCTGTATGGGTTGCACGGGTGCTCTGGCGGAGGGAGTTGGTGTCGCTCGGGTGGCACACTTGGTACAAGAGCGGCACCATCGCTTTACCTCTTGCGTCATCCCGGGCCAGTAGAAACGTATGTACACCCGCCGTAGGGTCTTCGCAGGACCAAGATGGCCAGAGGGGGTCCGTTGTGTAGTTCTCGTAGGATGACAGGAACGAGGGCCTTGGGTGCCACTCGTTGGAATAGGACACGAGAGTTGGGTCTCCAGCGGCGATGTAGGATGCCATTCTTGATGGTCAAGTCGGGATACTGGTGCCACAGGGACTTGAGGTAGCGGCCTCTATGTTGAACTGCATTGAAGGGAGGTCTACCTCGTCGGCCACGTTTCCATTGGAGGACAGCCGAGATGTCAGGATCAGCTTCTTGCACCCGGCGCAGGTTGTCTGGGGTCAGCGGAGAGTCGGCAGGATTGTCCTCTTGCTGGTTAGGTCGGTCATCTACTGCAGCCACCGTGGGTGGTAGGGACTTGGGTGCGGTCCCTTGTCCTGTTGCGGCTGTGGGTAGCGTAAGTGGCTGTGGTGCAGCCTGAGTTACGGTCTGTGGGGATGCTGGTCGTGGTTTCGTCGCAGCTGTGGCCGGGACTGCATCGGCACAGATATTGATGTCCCTCACAGTTGTTGGTCGTCGAGACATGGCATCGGCGTTGTTGTGAGACTTGCCGGCTCGATAAGTGATGGTGAAGTCGTATGTAGACAATTCAATCGCCCATCTAGCACGTCGGCCGGTCGGGTCATTGGAGATGAGACTGGGGCTAAGGCCGACCAGGGGCTTGTGGTCAGTGACGACTGAGAACGACTGACCAGCCAAGTACGAACGGTAATGGCGAATGCTCCAGACCACGGCCCATAGCTCTCGGTCGTAAGTAGACCAGTTCCGTTCCTGCTTGGTGAGTGTTTTGCTTGCATATGAGATGACACGTTCTCCCGAGTCATCCGGTTGGGTCAGGACGGCTCCGAAGGCAGAGTTGGATGCGTCCGTGTATAGGATCAAGGAAGCAGTGAAGTCCGGGTATGCCAGCACAGGCGGAGCAACCAGGGCAGCTCGCAGGGTGTCAAACGCAGTCTGGCAGGCGTCATCCCAGGTGAACGCAACATGTTTCCTTGTCAGGGCTATCAGGGGATCCGCAACGTGGGCAAAGTTCTGGATGAACTTGCGGTAGTATGACGCAAGGCCCAGGAAGGCACGGATTTCAGCAGTGGAAGTTGGGGTTGGCCATTGTCGAACTTTCTCTGTGTTGGTCGGGTCCGGTTGAATTCCTGCCTTGGAGACGATGTGGCCGAGGAAACGGACCCGAGGCTGTGCGAACTGGCACTTCTTGGCATTCAGTTTGAGATTGGCAGTGCGGAAACGACGGAAGACTTCCTCCAAGGTGGTCAGGTGTTCCTGGAATGTCCGTGAAAAGACAATGATGTCGTCCAGGTAAGCCAAACATGTCTGCCAGTCGAGGCCGGCCAGGAGCAGTTCCATGAGGCGCTGGAAGGTGGACGGCGCGTTGGTAAGGCCGAACGGCATGACCTTGAACTGGTACAGACCGCGGCCGGTGGTGAAAGCGGTCTTCTCGCGGTCGTCCGGATCGATATTCACCTGCCAATAGCCGGATGTCAGGTCGAGGGTAGTGAAGAAGGCAGAGCCGGCCAGCGCATCGAGAACGACATCAGTACGCGGTAGAGGATGGGCATCCTTGACTGTCGCCTGATTCAATTTGCGATAGTCAACGCTAAAACCGAAATGAGCCATCTTTTCTTTCGTGCGAGCACGACTGGAGAGGCCCCAGGGACTTTGACTGGGTTCTATGACGTCGTCCGCCAGCATGGCGTCCACCTGTCGATGAATTTCAGCCTGGCGGTGGAGCGGTGTGCGGTGCGGTCTCTGCTTGATGGGCGGACAGTCACCTGTGTGGATGCGATGAGAGGTGAGCTTAGTCCGGCCCCTGTCTCTTGAGCCGGCGCTGAAGACATCTGCATATGTGTCCACCAGCTTGCGCAGTTGGGCAGCTTGTGCCGGGGAGAGTTCCGATTGCTGGAGGTCAATAGTAGGCGGGTGTGTGGGAGCTGGATCGGGGGTAGATGGGCCAATGTAGTCTGCGACATCATCATCCTCTAGGGCCCAGAACGTGCCCATCGGTGTGTTGGGTTGGAGGACAACAGGTTGATCGCTGGTGTTGGTAACTTCTGCGTAAGCTTTGGAGTGACTGGCCGATGCGACTGTTCGGGCCACGGCAAAGGCCACGGTCGTCAATGGGTTACGTGGTTCCAGCAAACCAACATAGTTATGGGGGGTGTTGCCAGCACCATTTCGGGGCTTCAGGGAAATGGGAACAGCCATGACTGAACGAGGTGGAATGGTGGTGATACGGCACACGGACGCATGACAGAGCCGGGGAACAAAGTCAGTTGACGTGAGCAGGGGTACTGTCGTGTCCCCCATGGTAAGGATGCCCCGGCCAGTGTCGATCACAACCTGGTTAGCAGTGCAGAAGTCCCAACCAAGAATGGCTGGCTGGTCAGTTCCGCGGACGACCAGAATAGGGTGAGTGGTTTCACGACTGCCCAGGTAGATGTGGACGTCCAGGATGCCCAGCACATCAATGGGGTGGCCGGTGACTGATTTGGCAGGAGTGACAGTAGGGATCAGTGGGGACTGGCGGAGAGACGGGATGGCGTCACGAAGGTCTTCACTAATGAGGGACAAGGCCGAGCCTGTGTCGATGAGGACCTGTGTGGCGTGGCCGTCAAGGGTGGCGGTAACATGGGCTGTAGGAGATCCAGGTAGCTGAGAAGAAGTTTGGGCCTGTGGGTGCTCTACTGGCGGTCGGCCCGTCTGGCCAGCAGCACGTCGTTTCCCTGGTCGTCAGATGGGGACGTGAAGCGGACGGACCGGGGCGACGTGTACCTGGTGCTGGGGCGATATGGTGAGCGGGGGCGAGAGGACGGAGAACGGGAACGGCGATCCGAGGTGCGGTACGGTGAGGGAGACCGGACATCGCGTGTGCGATACGGTGAACGGGGAGCCTCGGATGAACGGTATGGGGATCTGGGGCGGGTGTCCGCTGAGCGATACGGGGAGCGAGAGCGGGTGTCTGCTGAGCGATACGGGGAGGTGGACCGAGGCCGAGAAGTGGAGGCTGAACGGTGGGAGTCTCCTGATGTGAGTGACAAGTGGTTCTGAAGTAACGTCGTGAGGGCAGAAACTTGCTCTGTCAGAGTGGTCACCGTGGCTTGTAGGTCGTCCCTGTGGACAGCGTTGACTGAGCGTTCACGCGGGGTAGTGGCGGCCACTGCTTGCTCGTACAGGGTGGCGATCTCGACAGCCTGATCGATAGTGGAGGGGTTTCGCTCGATTACCCGGAGGCGTGTGGCAGAGTCAATGCCTTGGATGAAATGTTGCAAGGTGACACCTTGGATGGCAGCTTCATTGTATGTGCGATGAGCCCGCCGGACCAGATGTTTGAGTTCTGAGGCAAACACGATGAGTGACTCACCTGGCTGGCGTTTCCTTTGAGCCAGTGATTGTTGGAAACTGAAAATGTACTTGTCCTGGGAAAACGCATGTGACAATGCCTGGCAGAGGTGCTGGTAGTCGTGTTTGGTTTCCTGGGGGAGGCTCTGGAAGTAGGTGAGAGCGGGTCCATCCAAGAAAGTCGGTAGAGCCCGGCTTCGAACGGTCGCATCATACAGGTGAGCATCGGCATATACCTCGAATTTGGTCAGCCAAACTGGGAAGTCCTCGTCGCCATTGCCAAGGAAGGCGGCTGGGAGGGGCGTTTTTGAGGTGTGGTGGAGACGAGGGACTAGGCACAGCAGGAGGTTGGTACCGGGTGACAGGCAAGCCTGCAGCTGGATCGGTAGGTGCATAGTACCAGTAGCTTGGAGGCTGGCCAGGTAGAGTGGGCCGAGTGGTCTGGGGGGGCTGAGGATGCCTGGGGGGGTGGGTGGTAGACCCATACCGGAGTGCCGGTCTGGGAGGGTGAGTGTTAGCCCCAGGCTGGAGTGAAGGGCGGGCTGTGGCCTGAGATGTGTATACGGTAGTTGTAACAGCTGTACCAGGAGGTGGTGGTTGCCGGTCGATGTGCGATACCGGCCTGGGAGGGGTCGAAGGTGTTAGCCCCAGGGCTGGGAGTGAAGGGTGGGCTGTGGTCTGAGATGTGTATATGGTAGGCGTAACAGACGTACCAGGAGGTGGTGGTTGCGACGGTACAGCTGGAGGGAATGAAGCTGGACTTGGAAACCTCGGGGGGAGACCCGTCTGTGTGGGCGACGCCATTACGTTCGAGGGTGTGCGAGCCACAGGGTTGTAGTTGAATGAAATGTCCTCGTCGATAACGACGACAGAATCACTAGCGGTAGCCATATAGTGACGGGCAGTTCCAAATTCTCAACAGTTCAGTGCGAGCCGACAGCTTACCTTGACAGGAAAGAGAGCGTAGCGGTCCGGGAAGTTGAAGGTAGACGCACATGGGCCAGAGGGGGGGAGGGGGGCGAGTACCGCCGAGGCGGCGAACGCAGCGATCCGCCGGTTGGTGACGAATAAGTCCGGTGGTTAGGGACGGCGAAGAGTCCGAACACCGCTGCCACCAGTGTAAGTTCCGTATACTTAGCAGACAAGGAGGCCAGACGATGAGTAGTGTGGAGCTGAATCTATTCTGCTGTGGAACAAACTATACACAGGCTTTCCATGTGGTCTAGTTCACCTCTGACCCCGGGTTGGCTCATTCTCACCCAGGGGGGGTTCTACTTCTGTGCCTTACAATAGCAATTATCTGCATGGTTGCAAACTATAGCACACTTAAAGCCAGCAGTACAACCAGTTACCTCAAGCCCTAAAGCAGCTTCCATTCTGTCAAGTTGGGAAATTGGAAACATGCCTTATAGGTCCTTGGTAGATCAAAGGTAGGCAAGGTGATGAGTGTGTAACTTGTAAGTCGGTAGTTGTCTGGCAATGTTAAACCTATAGTGGTGGGGAATGTGTAATACCACAGTAGAATAATCTGAGTTGACCACCTTTTCATCTAAAACTTTTAAGTTTTACACAGTTTTGAATGTTATGTACGCATTGGTGGCATGTTGGACAAACTTGTGATTTGTTGACTATAAAATCCCTAGAATGTCCCAATGAAACTTTTTTCGAACACCTCCTTCTTGGACTTTTGTACTTATAATATGTATAAGTGCATAGCTTTAGTTAGGTACATAATTATCTCGTTCGAGCGTAACGCAGAGATGTCCTCATTGAGGAGAGCCACACCTCCAGCATCTCAGCTGATCATCAACACAAATAAATACAATAATGATTGACAGCATTATTGCATGATTTAAGTTTCTAGGTACAGGACTTGTCAAAATAAATAAAGTACTTACCACCAACCCACCCCGCTATAAAATCATCCACACGAAACCCTCCCATTTTCTTATGACCCTATTGCTGCAGTACAAGAGCAAAACGTAGTAGCCCGGAGTTGCTTCACGCTGACTTCTTGGCGATTTGTCTGTGCTCCGACCGATGTGTTGTCTAATAACTGGTTTCCCAACAGCCGGCTCGTTGCAAACAACGCCGATACCACACCGGCAGACTTCGAGACAGAAGCTCGCGGTGATTTCAATCTTCAGGGGGTTAAGGTGGGGGTGGTGGTACACATGTATCAACATGTGTATTAATTAACCGTGCGACACAGAAACATTTCTCCGTGGCCTTCGCACGAGGCCACGACACATGTCAGGCCCCTGTGACAGAATACAAAAACAATATGTAGATTTAAACGTCATTTTCTTTCATACCTAAGCTGTTTTGCTTTTTAACCATATAAAATCAAACATTATTTTTATCTGATGACGCAAGTTTAAGCTTACACCACTGGGTCTATGTATAAGCTCTGAATGCTGCAGAAGAATGACAATTCCATAACATTTTGTCGCCCTCGTGTTTACGAAATTTATTGCAACCTTTGAACTTCCGGGATTTCGCAGTGGCTGATGGTCTATGTAAGGTCAGAGGTCAATACCCACGCTGACACATTTGGAATCTCGTGTTGCCTGGAGGGCGCACCGGCGATCAAAGGACCCCTCGTCTCTGTTTGTCCCCATTATTTGATCTCAACAAACGTCACAAGCACGGCTAACATGTAACCCACGTGAGGCCTGAGTCCGACGTCCGACGATCTACACCGTTACCGCAGTTTTGGAGGAGCGCACAGACACGGAAAATTCTTCGGGGATCAAGCGCGTGTGAGCCGCGTCACAGAAGCGCGTGATACGTATCGCCCTCAAAGGGCAACGCAACAAAAAACAGTCGACAGGCCCGGCGCGCTTTCTCTCTTGGTAAACTGATACGTTGGAAAATTCCTATTCGTCATTGGGTAAAGAGACCAGCCTTATGACTTCCGGATGTTTCCACGTGTACTAGACCTTTTGTGACAGTGAAAGGAAGCTGTGCTTGTAAGGATCACTTCCTCGTGAAAGCGCGCGCCCTACTTCTCTCCCCGGGACGTTTTGAGAGCTGTGCCCCATATACCGACACAGGCCATTCCTTATAAGTGACCGTAGCGAGAAACTGATCCTTTGAAGCTACTGGAATTTCTGCGGCTGGAAAACTGATCTGTCGAAGTGGCGGGAATGGCGTTAGACTTCGTTGCCGGTTGTCTCGGAGGTAAGTGTGGGTGACTCATGACTGGGTTTAGAAACCATTACCAAAGACTCTCATGACAAAACTCAGATTTCCCGTAATTTTTCTCAACGTTTCCTTGGTTTACAGAAAGAGAACTAAACTTGTGGGAATGGCTACTTTCATCCTTCTATTTGTAGATTTTACAGTCGATGCCGTTGCACCTGTTGCATTCAGAGTAGTGAGTTTTTATTTTGCCCTAAAAAATTTGTGCCGTGAGGTTAAACCTTTTCTTACTCTAAGGGTTCCCCAGACACCACAGTTTCACTCGGCAAAGTTCGTCTCCAGTTTGCCGGTAAACCGAAAACGTAATGTATCCATGTGTTGGCCATGGACTAAATGGGGCTCCTATCCTGTAAAAATAACCTAATGAAACGACACAAATTTGAAATGCCATGTGATTTGTAGATCTTAGAATTCAGACGAATCATTCTCGTTCGTTGTCTTGAAAAGATAATGATGTGCTTGGTTACCCATTTTGTTAAGGTGTGTATTTTAAGGGCACTAAAACAATCAATGTCTTTCAACACAAAAAGTATGATACTATATTGATAGCTACATAGAAGTCAATAGATTTTAAAATCACTTAAAATTTAATAATACATGTAAAAGTACAATGACAAAGTAATGTCACAATGTTTTTATCCAAATCAAATGACCTGGTTATCCTACAGTTTTTGAGGGCCTGTCTGATGATTTTTTGCAAAGCCCTCAGGGGTTCTTTACCATTGTTTTAGTTGTCACTCATGTCAGCCTGCTACAGTCATGAACTCACTCACACCCACACGGCACACCCACCCATCAGTCAAGTTTTAATACACGTGTATAAGATTTGATTTTTATATGGCAGAACTGAACTGACAGTTGACAATTTTTAGACAAGTAGCTTCTGTTGCTGCTGCCTGTTGGCCTGAAGGGTTAATGCAACAGTGAGCTGTTATACACAGCAGCCATTCAAGTCACCATAAATCTTGAAATATACACTGTGGTTTTATGTTCTCAGTTTTACAATGACCTCCCAACCAAGAAATCACCACACCATGATGAATATTTGTTGAGTAACACACTGCAAACTTAAGACACAACTAACACTTTCTTCCCCCTCCTGTTAAATCTAATCCTAGCAAATATAAATGAAGTTACAGTAGATTAGATTGAATAGATAAGCTGACTGTTGATCTATGGTATGTGTATTGACATCCTGGTGGTGTTGAAATCCACGTCAGCAGTTTGTCTTCTGGAAGTTCTGGTTATGGATTCAGTTTGGGTTCTGTTTTATCTGTCTTTTCCAATATATTGCTAGAATCTCTGATACCTCTCTGATAATCTCTGTACCTATCACAATTTTACTAGGACAGGCCTGCTGAACCTCCAGTCCTTGACAATATTTTAAGTTGTAAGATGATTTAAAGTATGCAGGGACCTGTGTCCTGTGATCGGAGGGGAAAGGATATGTTTGCAGTTTAAACAAACATAGCAATGTAATTTAGGACTATATACATGAATAACACTGCCACAAATTATTAGAGTTGCAGTATGAATCTTGAGAGACAAGCACTAATACCATTTTAGCTCCATGCCAATACACAGCGATCCTAAGTAGGATCCGTCTATTATTATTATACCAACAATCCCCTAATTTTCAACTCAAATACCTAACAATCCCCTCATTTTCAACACAAAAGGATTTGGCTTTGATAATGGTAGCATCAATTATCAAGGGTTAATTGCCCAAACTTGTTGCTGGAATGCCAGTTTTTTTTTGTATGGTGAAGTCAGCAGAGATAGGGATAAAGTCTGGTATAGCAAAAGAAGGTTTGTTGTTTTGGCTCAGTTCTGGATTTCAGATTATGATCACAGAATGAAAAGTCATTTCCTTCCTTGTCTGTGAAGGAAACTTGATGAAAGTTTGATTGGTAAGAAATTCGACAGGCTTCCTGTTAATCTACCGTGAAGGTTTTCTGGTAATATTGACACAGCCCTTTTCTGTACAAACTTTGACCCAACATTTTTGCTCCATTACGCACCTTTAAACAACATTGTAAACATTGTATGAGAAGCCTGAAGGCATAGGTGGAGTCCCCTGGAGATTGTTGGGTAATTGTGGACACAGGGAAAACAACACCTTATGTGGTAGCAGGAAGGACCAATCATAGTGCAGGATTGGTGGGTGTGTTGGGGGTGTGTCACATGTTTTGGCTAATGGCCAAATTATGTTGTTGATCTGAAGACTTTGACAGTACAATGTACATGTATTAGACTAATTTACTTGCTAATTGTAAAAGAATAACTAGTTTAGGATGATATTCAATATGATATTAAAGGAATAGAATATTTCTATAATACTATATAGTCCTAGAGGCAACATAACAAGTGTTGTTGCTTACCTCATTCATTAATTTCATATAAAGAATCTACTGGTGAAATCTGCAAGGAAGTCACTGCCCTACAAGCACCAGTCTGTAAGAAAGATTGATAGCAATTGTAAATGATATTGATCAGTGGAGCTTTACAGAGCATACTGTACGTAGTGCCCTTTCAGGCTCGTTCACCTTTGTAATGATTATTACACCAACACTTGTGCAATGTTAACCCTTCAAGTGTTTATTTTACTCTGCTTACAAGTTACACTGTGTAACAATATGTGTAATGCTGTGTATCTGTCACAGTGTTGGTTTTGTTGTCTTTTATTGTGACTGATGATAAGTCTATTATACATAGATGGATCCGATGAGTTGAGAACGTTACGTTCTCAGTTTGCTACTAAGAATAGTTTTCTAAATGTCTGAGTTGATAGACACTAAAACTTGTGTGTACTGTTGTACCTCGTGTCAGGTTTCAAAGTCTAAGGTTACTTGTGATAAGCTGATAACGAACGAACAAAAACAGCATACCATACTTTGAACAACAAAATCCTTTTTATTTGGAAAACTGATACAGTAGATATATTCAGATGCAAAAAGTGATGTTTGGTAGTCACATTGTGTACCTTTCTGTTTTGATTACATGTTGATACAATATGATTGAAAAGGCATAAATAACATAAACACGCTTGTGACAGAGGTGTGTTTACAAGTTGTGCACATACTTCAGTGTGAAGGTTGTTTAAACAAAGAAGTATGAATAGTGAACCGTGGGTGTGAACTGTGATCCTTTATTGGCATGAAGTAATTTGTTTTTTTGCACCAAACAACTGATGACGCACATCTTACATTGTACTTTTCACTGAAATAGCAATCACTCTAAGAATTTAAAGATAGTTTGGTCCCAAAATTCCTCCCTGAAGAACATAATTATGCATCAGTACTAGTTTCTCTGGTACAAACTTAGACATAGTCATTTTTCTCTATTATATTTTTATACACTCTTTTTCTGTCCTGTCCTGTTTAAAAGTCCTTTTTTAATATTGACATAATTTCAAATCCTTTATTATCCCCACCTTTTGCAGGAGAGGAGTCTGTTTTTTACATTGTAAAATACACTTCCTGCAGACCATACTAGTACTACTTGCTGCGTGTACAATCAGTTCTGGTTTGTCTGCACCAAATTTCTCCCAGGGCCAAATGAATGATAGGAGCTGTCCAGAATGGAGTAAATGATTGCCAAGTTGTTAATAGGTCAAGAGAGGTCCAGTTGATACCACCAGAGGTTCTTTATTCTTTTGACATCTACTGATGAGTTTTAGATTGACTCTAATTGCTGAAATGGACCGTTTATTGCTTTATGGGGAGAGTGTGGCAGGACAGTGATGTTAACACATATTTCCTGGTGTTCATTATGATTACCTACAGCACTGCTGAGCTTTACCATGTAATGTGCTAAATTTACCATGTCAGCAGGGATGGTTTGAGCTGTATGTTACAGATAATCTGTTTAGACATGGGGGCAAGCCATACAGTTAAATGGATTTTAGACTCCCTCACAAGCGGAATCAAGGAAAGCTGGTAAAATGTTACTGCCAAGATGTTGGAGAATCATATCATTTTCTGACTGGCATGCTAAACTGCCATCAAAGCTGTTTGTCAGGAAACATTATGCTTTTCCATCCCAACATCTGCTTAAAGCCTTGGCTGAATTTAGTGTTTCCAGTTGTGCCTAAAACTGTAAATGATTCCAAGAATGATTCTGAACATTTAATAAGTTAATACATTGTACAAAAGTGTATATCCACATGCCCATGTCTCATGATCATGCTCCCTTCCACCTTTATTGTTCACAGTCCACCACCTCGCATCATCATAAATTAGCCCTCCTGAACAAACATTTGCACATGTGATGGGTTTCTAATGAGATCCCAATGGGATGCCAGCAAATGTGTGCCTGTTGGGATGTGACACACAGACATTCATCATCAGGAACAAGTCTCATCTGTATTCCACTCAGCAGGCTGTGAAATGCTGCCATGCTTCCCTAACTACCGCATAAATACATACAATATACATCTTTTTCCTCGTATAAATCTAATGATGCGCTAGATAAAGTTGGTTCTTGTCAAATGGCCATGTACCCGTACATTATAAATGAAGTCATATAAGCCTGCATTACACAGCTCCCCCCATGAGTCTGTGAGCTCTAAAGGACATATCAATATTCTAAAACAAGCGTCAGTCTCAGAAAACATGCCAAACATGAATATGTAAAGTAGTTTCACTTTCAACACTGTCTGTGTACAAAGGCCCTTGTGTGGTCCTATAGACGCCTTCTTTGTGGAGGAGAAATTTGAATTTCTCTTTTGGTCTTGACCAGAATCTTACATATACATATGTAACGACCATAGCTGACCTATCTACTACACATACTTGCTAAGTCAACTTTTTTCATCCATCGGTTTTGTGGTTGAGAATACAAGCATGTAGCATTTGTCTCTGTTTTATTTCTTCGAAGAAAAGCCACCCTGAAAGAAAATACTGGTGCCAATAAAAGGATGGCAGCTTGCATTAGACATATGTTGAATGAAGATAATCAGGGTAGATGATTCACATTCGTTGTTACATGTGTTAACATTTTTCTTGATATGAAATGTGACCCCACATATACTTCAACCCCCTCTTGCTAAGGGTTTCTACCTTGTAGACACATGTACCTAATACAGTAGCTACTGGTAACAGAGAAATTACATGTAGCTTGAAGTTTGAGAAGGTTAACCACAGTATGGGTTATACCGTAAATATAATAGGATTTTCACTCTGGCTCTCCTAAAGCTGTTATCTATAATAAGATTTTCACACATCATCCACTGAAGCTACTTGTCAGGATCAAAAGGCTACAGGACCAACCACTAAGAAGAATATATGCTCAGATAAAAGAAACAAATGTCCACATACTATGACAGTGTAAGGGGTAGAACATTTTAAACCAGGCCAGTTGATTCAAACATCTGTTATAGCAAGTTTATGTTTGTAAGAAATTGACAAATAGTCTAAGATGTTATTTGCTTGTTGTTTATTTGATGTACTTCTCGTCTTCTGTAACCAAAATAGTTGTGGAAAAATTATATGTATAGTTTTTTGCAAATGTTTGTATGTAGTTGTAAGGGGCCTGCATGCTCTTTTACATACAAGTAGAGTGTAATCAGCTGTTTAATTCCATATAATTCATGTCCAGACTGCGGAGGTTCAATGTAGAGTGTGCGCATAATTGGTGCATTCTATGTAAACAGTAATTTAGGCTATACCAATTTACCGTTATTTGTTGGTTTCTGGGAATTGCTACTTCAAAAAAATCACAATATTGAAAAAATATTTCTACCCACAGGCATTGCCTCTGAGGCAGGCCCACAGTGTATATGTCATACTGGAAATTGTAAGAAATTGGATGCCCTACTTTTAGACAAAATGCCCTAAAGACGCAATAATGATAGTATTTTCATCCCATTTTTCCCAGTAACACTGAATGTGGCCACTGCCTTTCCGGAATGCATTGATGGTAAAAGCCACCCCTATGCAGGCCCCATACATATGTATATTGATAACTTTCATCTGATATTTCCCCAGGCCTGTGATGCTATTTTTCCCAATTTTCCACAACCATGCCCCCTCCTCCATCACCACTCTTCATAGTTTGCCCAAACTCACCATGCTAACTAGGCTACCGGCCGTGCAGTAACTGTGAAAGTCACCTGTGTAAATGATAGCATGTCTTTGCCAACTTTTATACGGTACATAACTTGCCCTTCACAGTTCAACCAATAGTGAAGTACATGTTCAGTGTTCTCTTTAGGTCTATATTTTTCTCCATCTGCTCAGTTTGCCATTCAAAGCTCTGTGACAGGCACTGAATTAGGCACAAATAGGAATCTAGGAGGGAAATTTTAAACTTGTTAACCCTCTGAAATGCTATTTCCCACATTCTGAGGGGCAAATTTCAATATTTAATTTAATAAGATTAGCCAACACTTACATGTACCACAACGATAACTGCTGCTGTGGTGCTGTAAAACCTGCAGACGTGATGAAGACATGATGGAGTTCCAATTTTTGTCCATTAAACAGTTGGAATTTTTGTTCGCCCTGATTGAAAATGAGGTGACTCGATAGAAGCTAGGGGGGGATTTTGAATTAACTGTTCACATGATGTAGTACAATATGTAAGTATATTTTTGGGGCATAATTGTGTTGTGGACTATTGTGTAAGTAGCAAAGAATCACACAAAATTGGAGATATATTCATGCTATCTTTAGATCAAAACAACTTGCCTTTGTTACATACCAAAATAACAGATTTTACAAATTGTCTCCTTTTTCTTGAACAGGTGCAGCTGGTGTACTGGTGGGCCATCCTTTTGATACTGTAAAAGTGAGTATTGCCACTTTCCATTCCTACCAGATGCATGACATTCATATCAAATTTGATAATTTTTTGGTTACCGTAAATTTGTAGTCCAACTGTTAATGTCACCTAAAACTTCCTTTTTATGTACAATTTATTCCTATGTTCGTACATATATTTTAGGCTCCCATGGAAATCAGACATTTATGGCAAAAGTGGACCTTCCAATTTTTGTCAAGATTGATGAATAGATGAATGGATAGAATGAAGACTTAAGTCTCTTCCAGTAGTTACTAAAATCTCATATAGTGACATGTACATGTAGTGACAGTGATAGACACACCCACAGAAGCCAATGTACCTCTGGTTTATTCTAATTAGGCACATTTAAAACCATCCTTGTTAGTTCATAATCTTTCCCTCCATGAAGGTAGTGAAGGATTGATTTTGTCATTTCTGTATGAAGGGGATCTGTCATCTCTGATCACATACCCGTCTTCCCAAAGGTGCCATACAGGTCAAAGGTGGGGTGTTACAATACAGTTGTACTTTATAGTGACCCCAACAGAGCTATCTCTTCTGACAGGAATAGGGGCATTTTTCTATCGCAATAGAAGCAACATCTGGAGTAACATGAGATTATACAATGTACTCACACTGTTATAATATATCATGTCATGAACTTCCCTATCATAATACAATCATGCCCCTGTATTATATGAATATATCATAGATATCCACTCTCTCCTGAAAGATTGGGGACCATATGCTGCTACACAGACTCATTAATCTTCACACAAAAGGTAAAGGTGATCGCAAAAATTCCCAGGAGGGATAACAGGCCATCAATTTGGGTGTAACCGCAGATGATGGTGTAACCAGGTGCCGATTTCTATGGATTTATGCAAGCTGCCGCTGTTGTATTGTTGCAGCATAATCACAGAGAAGTGATCAATATGTCCAAGGCCAAAGTAACAGTCTGGCACCAATACTGTAATAACGCTCTGATTAGGTGACAGGTGAGTTGTTATTGAAAATTAATGATGATGAATTGTTCTGACAGCACAATACATTGTGGGTAGGGGCCCCTGTACTTTTTTTAGTACACAGGTTTTATTTACACTACTGGCAGGGGACTATATTATTAGAATCTCATGCAGAAATGTTCATGGCATATACTTAAAATCTTGAATGGATTGCAGCATTTCTATTGAACTATTTAACTGCAAAATTAGAACACAGCTGAAACATTCCTGCATAAGAAAATGAATTTACAGAAAAAGCCTGCATCAGTGAGTCTATGAAAATAGTGACGCTGCCTGCAAAACTGCCAGCACACACTGTTCATGCCCGGGGCATGTGCACATTCCATCTGTTGTCTGCTTGGAGACAGCTGTAGTCCCAATATCTGTCTTTATTGATTTACTTTTCACTAAAGTTACTGATGGCATAATGGAAATATGCAAAACGAGAGAAAAAAGGAACCGACTGATGACCTTCCCAGTTTGTCCTTTGGCTCAATGAAGGCAATATGTTACTGAGGTCTGAGTATAACCTGGTTCTTATGCCAAGGTAGATTTTGGAAAGGTGACCTGTTTCTGGAAAATATAGTACAAATGGAAATTTTAGCTTGTACATGTACAAGAAGAAAAGGTGAACATAACCAAGAACATGAAAGATAGCATCAGCTGTCATAATTCCAATGGGTACCCTTAGAGTCCCACCGTGGAAAATGTTGTTATCTAGGTCATTTCAAGATTGTCTTGAACGCCAAAATTAAGTGTGCATACCTTGGCATTACTGATGCTTCTTTAGTGGATCTCTTTAGATTGACCTTCTTATGTGGCTGTCTTAAGATTCCTGGCATTCAATGTCTTCTATAATGCATTATCCCGAGACAGGCTGACACCATTGGTGTCAAGACATCAATACTGGTGAGACATTTCCACTGGTATCAGATCAATAGATGTGGAACAGTCATTACAGTGTAGTCTCTACATTGATATCATGCCAAGATGGTGTTAACATCCTCATTTTATTGCCCACTCACTAAGCCTTGGGGACCGTAATAATATCTGTAGAAACACTCAGGAAGATCAGAAGCACTCTCATCACTGGTGACCCACATCTCGTGTCTCCACATCAGACGCCGGCGTCGGAGGGATTTCCACCGTGTTGAACAGTTGCTACGGCTACTAGAGGGAAGATGATGGGGTATTTGCACCAGGGTCCAATTTACATCAGGACCAGAGCATAACCTGAATTATATACCATGCCATTTAGGATGGTAATTTAGAACTTCAAATTATCACAACCATGGTATGTTTCTTACACAGATATAAAGTTCACACTTTCGCTCTGCGACTAATCCGTTTGTCAAATAACGCAACGATACGCAGTAACATTACACAGATGACATAGACATAATTGACACATTTTTAGTTTATACTGAAGTCCCGTGACAGAGACATGTGACAGGCATGCCGACAGTGTGGATACGGTATGTCTGTCAATGTGCCAGCCCCAGGCAGGGGTGACAGTCACAAGGCATTGTCGACCTTTGACATCCTGTAAGATTTTGTGATTGATTTCTATGCAGCAACAAATGATATCTTGGTAGAAATATAACTGCTATATGTCAGGATGGGATGATATTAAATATCTGAAGACAAAACTATTACTCATTATAAAACAGTTACTTTTGTATCGATAAATAACATAGTGCACAATTTACATAGTGCTTCACCACTTTTGCTCAGTCCGAGTCTATGAATTGATAAATTGTGTCATATGATATCAGCATGATGAATACTCTTATTTCCCCAAAACCAGTTCAAAACCCAGTGCCAGTTTTTTAGGAGCAGTGCCGCTGCAGTGGAAACATTTGAGGTCACTAGAGTTGTCTTCCATGTTGGGGACGATGCCAAAATTCATGAATTTGTCTAAAGGCAGGATAGTTCTTCTTTATATTTTAGTCACTTGTCTACCAAATACACTTTTCGTGATATTCACAAAAAATTCTTTTAAGCTAGTATAGTCATGTAAAGTAGATAAAGGGCTTCACACCATCTATCAAAACAAACTCAGAGTTTCCCCTTGTAGGGATCCAACAGTCTGCTTCCTATATAGCCTGACATTCTCTGCATGTGACAAATGTGTGGGGTCAAAGAAGGTGACAAAATATGATGGTGGAAGAAAGAAATCCATGTCCATTACAGCAAGTCATCCGGAGAAAATGTCTTATTGATCTGTCTTGTGGATTCTGAGGTGCAGCGACCTTGTATGATTGAAGTCTTTCATAATTCATTATCGGAAATGACTTTTTATGGCGGGAAAGGATGTGGGACCTGACATGTGTTTGAAGATGAATTCCAAGTTTGAAAAGGATTTTGTGGTTTTAAGCTGGGAGTCCGACTGATGTTTCACCCTGTGAACAGACTGAAAACACACGATTACTCAACTATAGTATAGGGTACATATACAACATTTATTAGTAAGGATGTACATAGATATCACATAGGAATACAAATATACAGAGAATTTGTACAGTAGAGAAAAACCTCACCAACAGCGTTGATTGTTGTATGATAATTGTTTACATTCTACATAAATTTTTATACAGTACTGTATTTATAACATTACAACTGGTAACAGAATCAACTTTATATTTCCATAAATCAGCTAGAGACAGCCCTGTGACTGTCCTGTATTGTAAGTGGTTGATAAATCTAGAGCCAAAGAGCTAACATACAAGATGGAAGGACGGAGAAGTACCACTATGCCCCCAATTGGGTCATATTGACATTTTATCAGCTATATTTGGTGTTCTTGTTATCCAATCCCATCTGAGGCCCGACACCTACATAGTTGCACTGACCCTGTCCACTGTGTCTGTCCTACATGTAAATAGACAGTATGTATACTTGTAATATATGCAGCAGTTGTATCTGGTGTGAGAGTGACTACTGTGACAGGCACTTTAGGGATGCCAGAGATTACAATTGTCACAGCTTTTGAGTCTTGTTAGTTCTATACATCAAATCAGATGTGTTTCTTGGAACAAAGGCTGGAGAAAAAGGAATTGTCTTGCCATTATTACAAACAGAACCTGCAGTGTATTCCGTTATATGTCAAATTGCTGCCTCTTAGCTTACAGACAAATGTATTTCCTTAATGTCATCACTGTCACGTCTTTCCAAAAATAGGCCACTTTGAAAGCAAATTGTTTGCCAACCAATCCCAATTGTTGACTATTACATGTATACAGGTATTATAAATATCTTTACAGCTTTGGATCATAGCATCAAATTGATGCTTTGAATGAATGAAGCTTCTGTTTGAACTTGAAAGGAAAGCAAAGTATGAAAATATCTATCATGGTTATATTATTATTATTATAACAACCAAAACATTGCCATAAAGAGCTAGTGGGCCTGAAGCTGCAGTTTGACTAAGAAAAGCTAGGGGAGCTTTTTGTATCACTACTCTTCCAACACATGCAAGTTGTATACTAGTTTACTAACTGGCACTGATGGTCAGCTGTCTTCCCTGTACTTCCAGGTACGTCTACAGACACAGTCGGCCACTAATCGCCTGTACAGAGGCACCTTTCACTGCTTCGCAGAGATTATCAGAAAGGAATCGGTGAGTTTTTACATGATAATAATGTTATGTAATAAAGAAACAAATCAAGGTATATGTTTATAGGAGGACTCAACAGCACAGGCCAGTGTTATTTTCTAAAAGAACACATTTTTATTAATACAAACTCAAGATTGACAAGGAACTGGGAACTATTTATAATTCAGTACAGTCAGTTGTACAGTTTAGAAATCCTACATGGCTTAGGCAAAAAGATAGACAGATGTGATGAAGCCTGACCAATATATGTCTTCCTTAACCTTGATTTTTTCTCATGATTGCAGGCATTCGGCTTGTACAAGGGCATGACCTCACCTCTCATAGGTTTAACCTTCATCAACGCTATAGTGTTCGGAGTGCAGGGTAACGTGATGCGTGTGATCGGCGAGGGAAGCGTACTGAACAGTTTCCTGGCAGGCAGTGCGGCGGGAGCTGTGCAGACTCTAGTGTGTTCGCCCATGGAGCTGGCCAAGACCCGCATGCAGCTCATGGGCATGGGACAGAAAGCCAAGACCAGGAAAGAAAAGGATGTGAAAAATTCTCTGGACTGTCTGTTGAAGATCTACAGGAAGGAAGGGCTGAAAGGTTGCTGTAGAGGAATGTACCTTACTATATGGAGGGAAACCCCTGCCTTTGGTGTTTACTTTGCTACATATGACGTTATCTGCCAAATGCTGTCTCCGAAGGACCCCAATGAGCACATCGGGATGCTCCCACTCATGTTTGCGGGGGGAATGAGCGGGATCGCCTCGTGGATGTCCACATATCCCATCGACGTCATCAAGTCGCGCATCCAGGCAGACGGCGTGGGGGGCAAGAACGTGTACAAGGGGACGTTGGACTGCTTTGTGCGCAGCTACCAGACGGAGGGCTGGACGGTTTACACGAGAGGACTGACCTCCACACTGATCCGGGCGTTCCCCGTAAACGCAGCCACCTTCACCGTCGTCACGCTGTTCCTGAGGGAGATGAGGCCGTCGCAGCCCGTGGACACCACCCTGTCCAAGCCCCATCTGTACGAGAAGTAGATACAGTAATAGGAGACGTATAGTGCCTGGCTGCTTGAATGTGTCTTTGGCTGAGGTTTGAACTTTTTAGGGCATTCAGCTGCTAACAACTTTTTCTGGAGCTGAACTGTGTGATTTTCTAGACCTCTTCTTCCCCTTGCATGGTAGAGTGTGCCATTTCTTGTAAACGTTGTGGATGCAAAAACAAGCCTTCCTTCTCAATCAAAGAATGCATGTATCAGCTTGTATCTAACTGGTGAATGAGGCATAGTTGTGATGGTTTTTGATACAGTATAAGAAGTGCTAGGGGATGGTCCAAACAACTTAACCCACCACTACATGTATTATAAGTTTGCTTGAAATATCAGACTTCAACTGTTTGCCTTGTTAAGTGATGCATGTACAAATCATATCAAGCAAGCATCCTAACTACAATCTTTGTACTCGAGACATAACTCCCTCACATACATTGTATTTTCTAAAAATGAAAACTTATTTCCCATGATCTGTTTAAGTCCTGAAAAGACAGCAAAGTTCATGATTCTCAGTTGTAGTCAGAAGTCATTAAGATACCATGGTGCTGCAATACAGTTCTCAACAGTAGTTCTTGTGAACACAGAAGTTCTCGTGAAATTAAATAAAAACTGAGAGGGGGGCAGGCAGGGCCACAAGATACTAGTACTGCCCTCCCCTCTACGACCTGACAGGGAAAATACACCAAACAAAGAACTGAGATTTTGTTGCCTCAATGAGGAGCTCCCTAGCCAGATGTATTAAATTACTTGCTGTTATCTATCTTCACAGCAATATTAGAATTACTCTCATGGTGCAAATTAACAGCTCAAGGTTCAAACTAGAAAAAAAGGGGTTTTAAGATATTTGCCGCAATAATGTGGGGCATGATTACAGGTGTTCTGGTGAAACTGCTATCTTATAGTCCTGGACTAAAAAAAAACACTAGCAATTTGCAGAAAAGTTTTCAAGACACAAGAAAAAGATAAAAACAACATGCAAATTGGCAAGCTAAGAAAGAATACATGGTCAATAATTCTGGTATGAATCAAATTACAGATTTGTATTTTGAGCCATGTGATACCATAGATATCAAGGAATTAAATTTGTTTTGAATGATTTGAATATTGGTGGCGGGCAGGAGTCATTGGCGTGGGGAGGTGGGTAGTTCATCCAATCACGTGCAAGTTTGCATGTTCGGAGATTGAAGGGACTGGCTCACCATGCTTGTTTTCCTTTCAGTGAGTCTTGACCAGCTACCGAACAGTGTGTCCACTAGAACTGTACCAAACTGAAGCCGTTGCCTTACAAAACAAACTGGTGTACTGTGACCGGACAGGTATCCATTGTGTGTTGCCAGTACCTTTCAGGAATTTAAGTCAGACCACTATTTATGCAAGACCTGACATTATGACATTTCCAATTGCCATATTTAGAGTTTTGTGTAAGGTCAGCAATTTATAGTCTTGTTCTGAACATAATCATCATCTGAACATAAAACAGATGAAAGAAAAGTACAACTCTGTTATGTGTGTCTATCTTCGTCCAAATTATATGTACAGGTGAATTTTTTGTCAAAAGCATTTCATTGACCATCTTTTATGTTGTCTTCTGCAATATTCTCTATGAAGAAGAACAACTCTGCTCTATGAAATTATTCTCTATCATGATGATTGTTTCCTTCTAGTATGGGTTGCACTTATCATTACTTTCAATAGAAAAGTGTTAACACCAGTTGTACATTTGCCCTCTAGAATATCATCAGATAAAGAGAATAATAATATAGATATATATCACGTATGCACTGGAATGGGTCCAAAATGTTACTACACTTATATTGTACTGATTTAAGTTATTATGACAGTTTGTTGGTATATAAGCGATAAATGTTAATATTATTGTTTGAAGGATATTTTGTGGATTATTGTTGACTCCACGTTATGGTGAATTTTATTGAATGCATATAGAATCATGTTGGTTTGTCCAAATGATTTGTTACCCTTGTTTTTAAGGCATGTATTTTCTTTGTATATTATTGGTGACAACTATAATTATTCATATCATTTTAGGTTGCAGTGAATTATTGGTGGTTTTTGACATCGGGTTATGTTAACACCAATCATGTATACATGTCTCAACCATCCAGAGATCTAATGTTTGATGTCAACTAACTACTTTCACAATGAAAGTATTGTTTTAGGCTGCACAGATTAAATAGGGAGGTTGTATGTATTTTGTTCTATATATTAAAGTAGGAAGGATTGGAAATGAGTGTGCAGAGATTGGGTTTCAGTTGATTGACAGGGTTGTGATTCAGTATACCCTGGGCAGTAGGATGTGGTATGAGGTTGCCAGCAATGTGTACTGTGTAATCATGGTATGAAACATAAACCATGGTGTAATGGAGGAGTAAGATACGTCATACATTTGTATGAGTAATAATCCATTCTATGATGTAATTCAGTTGGGTATTTCCCCATGATCAGTAGCCTGGGTGCCATCCCCAGTAGGCAAATACTACTGGGGATGGCACCCAGGCTACATGATCAGACCATTCAGTTCCAATACATTCACTGATACCTGAAAGACTTCTCAAGTCTGTACTCCAAGTTAACATTCTATAACATTCTACATAATCCATGGCTGTCTACGTGCCAAGATAGGATTTGCTAAAGCAGGGGGGTTTGTGGGTGTGAAATCTTTGCAATGCAATCAGGGATTCATGACACTACCAGTGTTAAGAATTCACTTTTGGAACTTGCATGTAGATAAAATGAATTAGCCAGATTAAGAGTTATGGTTATAAGTGGTATGTTGCCACATAACTGTTGAAAATCGAAGTGTATGTTCAGAGGGTTTTTACATATTTTTCTTTGTTATCTTTTGTAATGGTAGACATGATGATCCATTGTCACAACAGCCATGATATTATTGTTAAAACTCTTTAACCTGACATCAAATACTGTCTGCTATGAAACTTGTTGATGACATGGTGCAATATGTTTAACTATGCATAGAGATGCAAGAAGCAGTGTTAAGCTCATCCAACTGAGCCGTAGAAATTATAGGATTTAGTGAAACATGTTTTTTGCAGTCAGAAATAAAATACTGACTGGTTCCCCATTGGAGACATAGAATGGACTTTTTGTGCTGTGAATTTTTTTTTAAGTTTTCAAATGTTGTAAAACTTTTAAAAGTAGTCAGAGAATGTATCATGGGCTTGCCTTTAAATGGCAACAAACCATAGCATGACTAAATTGCACTCCTAGCAGCTGGCCCACCCAACAGTTGCTGCCTACAGAAGAATAGGAGACCAAGTAACCCCCAGCAGTGTTTATGAGATGTTTAACACAGGCTAGCTACAACCACACACCAGCCCAGTGCCCTAATTTCCAAGCAGATGTGAGGATTCAACTCAGTCTCAGTGTCTTAAACCTCATTAGCAACATTTGGTACTCTTTTCTAGTGTTCAATATTTTAAAATTTAACAGTTCACATTCTTCAAGGAGAACCCTTAAGAAATACGATGATGGAAAGGATTACTCTGCTTGGAGATTATCCAGCCCCAGCATACATGTGTACATGACTATATTTCAAGACCCTTGCAGGATTAGGCGGAACTGCAGAAAGAATTAATATACTAGTAGTTACTGTTATCATTGTGACATCTTTGTGAGAGACTTCACAGGTTTCTTCATGGTATGTAATTTGTTAAGTGTTCATTCTTTATTTAGAAGAAACAATCAAATATGAGTATTCACCACTCTAAAGCAGTCTCGTGGAAGGTGCTAATTGCATTGTACAAAATGTTGCAGTGATTAAGTTAAAGAATCGAAGAACATTGACAGTTTGACACAACAACAAAGGTAAAACCTCCACATTTACGTATATGATCTGTTAGCAATTCTCTGGATTATGTCACAACATGGTAAACAAAAATTATATCATGCACATAATTAATACACTTCATCATCAGAGCAGAGGTTTGTGTGAACAAAAAAAATACACTCAAACATTCACATGGTGCTTGGATAGATGTCAGTAACAATCAAATAAATTCAAACAAAAGACATTATTATCACGATGGAAGACCAAGTAAAGGAAACAGTTATTCTAAACATGGAAGGTGTAGGTACATTTACTTGGAAATAGTTGTACAGAATTATTTTTATGAAAATGTGATTAAGGCCAAAGCAGCTGCGTGCTACAACTGTTACACTGAGTGTCTGTATATAGTGTGTCAGTACATCTGCCACAGTGTCATGAAAAATTATCCAGGTATCTAGATATTTGAGCCAAAGGCACATTAAACTTCATAGCCCTGTAGACTACTTCAAACAACACACTTGTCAATACCATGTTTTAACATATGGTTGAGACTTTCTAGGAGTCTTCCCAGACGTATCAATATACATGTACATGCCACACATACAAACATAGAACAAGACCTTTTTAACATGTTGCACTTAATCTTCATGTAGATCACAAATACTAACATTAAGTACATGATTTTCAAATGAAAGTTAATGCCATACATTACATACCAATATATCTCCACTTTGCTTCTAAGTGTACCTTTTCAAAGCGATTCACCAACCCATTTTTGTTTGTTTGTTTGTTTGTTTTTATCTATGAAAACAGGTCTCATCACTTTCGAAAGTATTACTGCATTTATTAAGATTTCATTGTAACAAAAATAAGTAGTATTAAAGGTAGGGATGGTCTTCCTGAAATTTGACTTCACACTTACCCACGTCTCCACTACTGAGTACATGTGCATGTGTATATCCTTCCAAAAGTGATTCACTAGCCCAGTTTTTTTTTATTTTACCAAAACAAGCCTCATCACTTTGATATGAAAGTATCATTGCATTTACTAATATAGATATTCTACTGTACTTAACTCATATCATTCGGTGACCCATTGACCTCCTGAATGATGTACGTCAGCCGGTCTGTATTATACTACTTTGATAAAAGCTGCCGATGATTACATGTCCTTGTCGGGGTCGTCGTCGCAGCTGCCGTTGTCCCTGGCCCGGTTGCTCCGGCGCTTCATCCGGCAGTACGGACCGATGGCCGGGTCTGTGATGAAGTCCCAAATAACTTTCGGCCATGACGAGTGGGAAGGCAGAGGCTCGTAGTACTCCTTAGCGATCTCCTTTAACTACAATGGATGGGAAACAGGCTGGTCTTAATTTGGTGGACCTTTCATAGAAAAAGCATCGGGGGACAGTATATCAGCAACCGATTTAGAAGGAATACACACAGACGCTTTTGTTTCGACCGCAGTTGTCTGGAATGTATCTCTATTCCGTCACCAAAATTATGCATGAAATAAAAGACAATGATGACATTTCAGAACTATATTGCTCAGAACTATAGGGCAATACTGCCTTGACATACGCGGGATGGAGAATAGTTATTTTGATTAACACTTGAGGCGTTTCTGTGCGTTCAACAAAGTTGAAATATTTGGCTTTAGAGCTTTTCAGCTTTGATTCCCGGCGTCTTTCGCATTGGCCTTTTTGAAAAATAAGAAATAGGAAAAACAGTTTTTTACATGTACCTTGGGTAGGTTACATCCTGGAATGTTGGGGAAGTCGTGGTGCTCCATGTGATAGCCCAAGTTAAAGGTAATGGCGTTCATCGGTCCGTAGTACGAGTAGGTCTCCTGACCCTTAATGAACATGTAGTGTTCCGCGATGAAGTGTGCAGCCATGGGATGGAGCCCCAAGCCTAGCAGGGTACCGATAGCCAGGTAGAACAGTGACTGAAAAGTAAAAGGTAAATAACGGGTCGAATAAATCCTCGAGGTTGTCATTAAACCAATCCCAGCAGCCTATTCTCAAAATTATCAGTTTAGCCAGTATAAGAGTGGCGTGTCAGCCGTTTTGTTGGTTAATTTTTTGTTCATCAAATTTTTCAAAGTTCGCAAACTTAATAATTTTGGTCGACCAATATCTCATTTGTCATTTTACAAAAAAGTTGTGAAATTGCAGACGTTAAAGATGCATCGTCCGGTAATGATATTGATATAAAACAGGAATCTGCGCATGCATATGGCGCGTATGAGCGCATCTTACCTTGTAGCTCATGAAGTACACGATGAGAACGTCAGCGATGCCCACCAACACGAGGTTGATGACCTCATAGTCGGTGATGGGTTTTGGCCGCACCACCAGGGGGCGGAGCGAGTAGAACGCGGGCAGCAGGAACACCCACAATGCCTTGCCTAACGAGTTACAGAAGAACTGACCTTCAAACACAGTCGGAAGGTCAGGGTCGAAACCGTCTTGGGCCTGAGTGGTAAAAGTGATAGAAAGAAAAATTTTACAGACTTGAGTGAACATTGTAGATGCGTACGCGTTGTTTCACGCGAGTTTTCAGTCTCTTTTGATAAATACTAATTCTGCGATCGTTCAAGGAATTTCAATTAAAGTACATTTTTCAGTTCAAATCTGTTGCTTTAAGTCTCTGATTTTTGAGTTAATGAATCTAGGGGGTAATCTGACAGGTAACATACGTTCACATGCGGTGGCAAGGGGGAATACCATATATGGAGCGTGGCGCAAAATCTAACGTACCCATACGCGCTGTCCTTGGTGCTGAACAGGCTTCTTAGCGGTAGACCTAGTATTCCTGAAGCCAAACCCCCTCAAAAACGACCTTTAGCAACTAGAATACTAGTTCCTCCATCAAAATCAGCAGTTTACAAACACCTCTATAAGTATCTAGCGCAACACAACCTTTTGTATCGGCTTCGATCCGGTTTCATAAAAGGCGACTGACTCTACAGTTTGTCAACAAGTATTTTGTCATACTATTTGAAAGCCTTAGAAGCCGGGAAAGAAGTTCGAGCTAGTCATTCGCTATTTATATTCTTACGTATGCGTAACAATCTACCTGAAACTTATGATGCTCTAGATGATACTTTTTGAACGAGATGGATGCCGGGAAACCGATGATGACGTTTCCGAAGATGCCGAGGGCCTTGTTCGCTCTGGGCCGAGCGTGTCCGAAGGCGAGGTTGTGGCAAATTTCGTGCCAAGCGACAAGCATGATATGGTTGATGGTCCCTCCTATGAAGTAGGCGGTCAGTAGAATCAGTGGCCAGGAGGAATCCTACGGCAGACATAGAAAAAACAACCAGGCGTTTATTCCTCTGGAGCAGGAAGTTAAGAGATTACTTGGAGACTACATCGTTGCAGATAATTTATTACGTCCTCTATCCAGGGATGGTTACAGGGCCCTGATGATATTGCTAGATCCATCTGCAACACCGCCCATTCATTTATAAAGACTGGTGACAAAAATATTTGGTGAGTCATCTTGTGTGGAACGTTCCCCGGTAGTTTGATATCATGCTTCAGAGTGAATGCTACCAACAGAGAAATTCAGATTCATGTTTACCTTCAACAAGTAGGCTATCGTCAGTTGCACGGCGACCATTATAAACACCCAGTATTTGAGGTTCGGATCGTGCCCCATCAACTTCTTCACCTGGGGATACTTAGCTGAAACAAAGACGAATTAACAAAGGTAAACATTGACGAATTGAGTTTCAAATCCATCATAATCCTGTGTGTTTAGCCAAGACTAACATTGCTCATTCTGTTGACACGTTTACACCAGAGTAGAGCTGGTGGACTTAACACTCAGTATTCGCAAATTCATGGGCGCTTGGATAAAAATGAGGCAATTTCCACAATTACATATGTGTAAAGCTGTTTATTCTCAAAATGCACATCCCGTTGCATGGGGGCTTTAAGGACCCAGTGTAGACAGTCTTCCCCATCGTTGAAGATGATATTTTGTTTAACCAAAGTAAATTATCGCAAGGCTTGCATGCATAAGTTTGTCTTTGGTCTCTCCCTCTGTGTGCTCCAATCACAGTGAGGTTCAGCCGGAGGTTTCAAATGTCGACGTCCACACGCTTAGAAAGGAGCCGCTCCTATGACACACATTGAATTGTCTCTGATGGCAGCAACATAATAACACCTGTCACTGACGCGGACACACCCAACCGCCGAACGCTCGTTGTATAACAGCCCCCACCCCCACCCGGTGGTTTTGTAACTGTTCCGACTGTGAATTTTGGCTACTTTACATTCTTTTCTGAATAATGGCGACAATTACATCTCAATTTGCAGAGGCCAATGAAAAATCACTTGCTCTCTATCTGTTCATCACAACATAAGCGTCAGGTTACAGAGCCGCTCACTGAGACGGTCACGTCAATTTGCGTCGGGTCTAGCTACGACGTGGCTACGACATCGACAGCAAATTGATATCATTCTTAGGGCAGTCGTGGACGTGTCTTACAATATCTGTTCTATGACGTTGTCGTAGATGCTTGCCAGCGGTCGGTTCAGACATATGCCTAGCCTCACACTGAAATCCTACCTCAGCAATACTCTGGGACGAATATGATTGGACTACCCGACAGAAGGGGCCTATGACTAAATATGATCATGCTAAACAGTGCCAACTACAATATGTGAGTTTTAGGCGACAGACGTTTAACCGACCCGTGACACCACAAGGGTCAAACAGAACTTTCTTATGGAACGTGTCGCAAGTGAACCACGGTTGCTGGTCGTACAAGTTACAGCTTCTGTCAACGTTCGTAGCTACTGTTTAACAAAAACGCCCCCTCTCCCTCCCCCTGTCTCTCTCTATATATGTATCTAATATATGTATGTATGCATGTATGTTCATGTAATATACTATGTGGTTTGGTACCCGGTCATTAAAATAAACATCCCTAAGAACAGAGACAACAGCAATATAGAACCGACAGACCCTACAGGTCAATGTGACGTCAGCGTAGTCACATAAAAGTGAGTCAATATTTTTTTGGCAACTGACTTTCTTAACACATGACGTGTCTCACGTACGCTCCTCGCTTTAGCCCAGTGAAAGTACATATTATCTCACGGTTTAATATCTTACCGTTAGATAAACACGTCCGAATAGGCCTGTAGCTAGTGTGGTCCGTGTGTAAACGATTTACCGTGGAAAATCTTCTCCGAAGAAAGGGAGGCCACATGACAAGGGTACACAACCATTAGGACGATAATTATACACAAGCTTATCGCTTCTTGAAGGGTATAACTGACCTTGCAAAATGTCGCGTGACAACATCTTTTAAATACAATAGCCAAGGACATGTTTTATCATGTAGTAAATGAAGATGAGTTTGACAAAGGGATAGTGTATGGGTCTAGCATTTACGGTGGCACGGAAAGCAATAAAGGATTCTTTCCATGTTGTTTCTTTTCAACTGATCATTGATGGACACGCACTGATTTATCACGTTTACATTAAAACAGAACATATCGAGCCGTTTTGATCATGAGAACGTTGACCTTTAGACAAACACCACGAACCTGTTTGCGAGAGTGCTGCATCATCGGGGTGTGTCCACTTTGTGTTTATCTTAGCCTCCATGCCTTGCCAAAATACTGGACGATTCCTCGTTTAAATATCTCACCAGAGCTATTATAATATCTATGACGAAGTGTATATATATAATTGTTAATAGTTCCACAAGAATAACATAAAAGATACAACACGCCTAACCAATAAATGCAACTTTTGGCCTTTCTTATACCCGTCCGCCATTCAAATGCGTAACGTAACTTGAATACCTTGGTACAGATAACTGTTACGCGTCTCATATTCCCTAATTTTCCAATAACAAACTTACCCATGATCTCCTTTCTCCGTGTAGCATGGGGCTCGTCCGTGTAAACCCACTCGAAATCGGTTCGAGAGACATGTCCTCCCATGTTTTTGGCTGTGTCCGGCCGATCGGTGGATGGGTGTGTGTACGTCTGGCGGCTTGAGCGGGTACTGTGCCGTGCCTGCGAACGGAAGACGGTCACGCATAAAGGCAGAGGATAATCCCCGGTGTTTACCTGCCCTGTGGTTACCTGTGCGGTTCTATTTCAGGCGGTGACTTGTCGCTAGGCAACGTAAACACGTGATTTATTTATGACTCAAAAGCGACCAATGACAGAACAGGTGGATCTCTCTGGAATGTTCTGTGACAAGAAGAGAAGAACACCGGAGAAACGTAACCCGGCAATAGGTAGGTCTGTTTTTGCGCGGGAAATTGGGACCGTTTTTACGAAAGACCAAAGGTACAACTTCAACAAGGCTTCATCGGATCAGTTTTCACCGTTCAAAACCCATTTTCACCCTTCAAAACCCAATTTTCACCCTTCAAAACTCAAATTTTCACCCTTCAAAACCCAATTTTCACCCTTCAAACTCAAATTTTCATCGTTCAAAACTTATTTTTCATCCTTCAAAACTCAAATTTTCACCCTTCAAAACTCAAATTTTCATCGTTCAAAACTTTTTTTCACCCTTCAAAACTCAAATTCTCATCGTTCAAAACTTGTTTTCACCCTTCAAAACTCAAATTTTCATCGTTCATCGACTCGTCCCCAGGATACTATGGTTGGCTCTTCCCAGTATGCTTTGCGCGGAGCGCGGTCTCTTTCCCAGGGCAGTCAAATACAAACACGAATACGCTGTTATTCGCTGCAGTCCCGCCGTGCCCAGAACGTAATTTTATATTATACCGGACGCTGTGGAAGGAAACATTTCCAACACGGTTCCAACCGCACCAAGGCACGATTTTCAACCGGCTGTTTTTGTAAGTTAGAATGGGGAGGAGGGCCGGGGGCGTTTCTAAGTACTTAGACTACGTTTCTTAGTACTTAGACTAAGTTAGAGTAGTTTTTTCGTGTTTATAAATTATGTTATGGACAGAGTCCGACAGACTGTTGTTGGTTTGTTGTAACCCCAAAACGTACTGCTCCATTGGTTTTGGAAGTACTTGTATTTGTTTTGAGTGGCGGACAGACGTATATTTTCCGACATAAATTCCCAACTATTTTCCACTGACACAGTTTCTCCAAATTGTTACATAACTGTTTGGCCCTGGGGAACTTTCGGTGGAGAGGCAGCCCCTTTCACAGTTTGACCACAACAATTCAGACGAAAAAACCTAACCGTTACTAAACTTAGAGTAAAAGTAGAAACACTCCCCTCCACATTCTAATTATGCGCAAGGCAAAACATGTCATATCATATCCATAACAATGCAACAGACAGCATATAGGATGATACATTTGGGGAAGGTAGGATACCGGTAGTTCAC